ATGCGAGCATTTTAGCTGTAAAAACAATCGATTTGGCAATCATAAAATAGCTAGCTAATTTATTTTACACGGAATGCGGCATAATTTCATTAACCGAAACATAATTTAACCATGCCTAATTAATTAGGAACCGAAACCGCGTAGCGAGGAAGTTTATAAAAACGTTATTGCGATATGGGCGCTGGAATTGAGAAATGCAGTATTTTGTTTCCATTAACATTTATTAAAAATTTCCGCAAAACCAGTCATTTTAAAAGCGTGAAGGTCGATATACCCGCATGGTATAAAATTCTCGGCTTGTAACAAATAAATGTAGGGGGAAAATGATAACGACTGCGGAAAATTGCGTTTTTTTATATAATTTAGTAGTGAAAAACAAACATCGAATTTTAAACAATAAAGTGTTCAATAGCAAGTAATTTATCAATAGAAACAATTAACATTCCTTCCCATTGATAGGATGATGTAATATTTTTCAACTAATTCAGTTTTATTATGGAAGGCTTTTTCAAAACCAAACAATGGGTGTAAAAACTCGACGAGTGCTCCATAACCAGGTGCTGACTTGCCGATTATGGCGAAAAAAAGAAACTGTATAGTGTTTTCGATTAGATGGCTTTGTTGAAAACGATAGCTATTATCAATTATGTCGAACAGTTAAGCTATTACGCAAGCGATTTTCCCACTGCATTTTTAATTTTTCTAGGCAATCATTACGAAATTCCTCGACTGTTTATCGCAAAAAACGCATTTTTACCTTATATAGGTTGAGCAAATACTTTTATTACCTACAACATTATGTTATTAGAAATTTCTTTATTAAATATCATCATGAAAAAAATGTTCCAATAATTAACCCAAGATTCTTATCTGCTTGATAAAATCGGTTTGATCGAGTGAGGAAAATTGCACTCGATTTCTAACGTGTAACCATAATGAGTAAATGAAACATCGAACATCAAACATCAGGGTTTCATACACATTATGCACATTCCAAGCGAATTATGATGATAGAAGAAAGTGGTCATACTAGTCAAAACATCTCGCAGAGGGAACGCGAACAGAGTGAAATTTCCATTGAAATGCAAATGGTTCTGTTGAAAAAAAATTTAAACAAAACAGTTTAGTAAAATTTGTAAATTTGTTATTACTTTATAACGTTTGTGGGTTGTGATTATAAAATAATTTTTTCACCAATACACGTGAATAAATCGTAAAACGTCCGTAGGTGGATAATTTCGATGAAGCAACGCGTTACAAAACGTTTCTTTTACTCAGACACATCAAAGAAAATAATTAATTTGCCCAAGTACAAGATCTAAAATAATTACACGGCCAGAACACCCACCGGTTTCTTTATTAATACGTCTTTTCTCTAATCGTCCGGCCTTCCTGGTCACTTTTCACACCCTCTCCCAGCTCGCCTGCCACGCATTATTATTTCGTTCGAGTAATTACGATGATGCCCGTTACCTGTCGAGTTATATTCCTGCTCGCTAATGGGCCGAGTGAAGTGCATTGACGTCAAATGGCATGCACATCGTGCAATTAATGTAGATAAAAGGCTGTTACAGATAAATTTAATTTGACGTTTAAAAGGGAAATAAATTTGGAAAAAACATACGGGCATAAATAATACGAGTAATTTGTATGTTATTTTTGGATTAGGAGTATTTTCTTGTTGTTTGATAAATAGACAGTGGTTAGTTAATTAACAGTTAATTTATCGTTGATATTGAAGTATTAAGAGCTTTGTTTTTCACCAATTTTTCCACGTAGAAAACAATCAACATACAAAACATAAATTTCCTGCTATTTACTATGTGCTTTTTACAATATTTTGTCGCGCTACTGTATTGTTACCGGTTTTTATTTCCACGTAACTAATTATCGCACTACGCAGACAAACGTGCTTGCCGTTTCGCAGTTTTTTTTTCGGGCCATTTTGTAGGATGATGGCTTTACAGTTATGTTTTACTGCAACTCAGTCGACTTGTCAATACAAGTTGGGACCGCTAGCAAACAAAAGGCCTCGATCTTCTGGGTAACCTTGAGGTAATATCCGTTAGGAATAATGCTCCATAAATTATTGCTATCGATGGATTCTGGATTGCATTTGGTGAGAATAAATCAGATCATAAAGAAATTGGAGTAAAATATAGACGAACAAGTCAAGTGGTTTTTTTAGTTAGGTAGGTAGATATTTATTTATTCCTCTTTACTGAGATTGAAACTTATTCTTTTGCATTTATTATGCAGATTATTCTTTTGACAAAGGAGTTTTCAATATGTATGAATCTTTTTACGATTATAGTAAGTACCTAACTCATTCATAAAAAAAACTACATTCCTAATAACAATTTATTAGATACGCATTTAAATTTATTCATGATAATTAGCTACAACTATCATTTTGCAATAATAGCGAAACATTTTATAGCATCTGGTGAAATGTGCATCCATAAAAGAATAATAAATCATATAAGAACGCATCTCGTATCGTTTTAAATTGCCTATTTAAATTCGAATAATTATGATAGATGTTAAACTTGAATAAATTATAGTTTTTGCATGAACGCGGAAAATTGTCCCACCCACATCCACCTTACTCAACCCATTAAAACAGTAACCTTTGTATCCTAGCCGGCATTAACTCGACCTCGCCTTTTATTATTGTCTGTATAACATGGAAAAAAACAATTCTAATTTAATTGTCTACATATTTTATGTTTCTTTAATATCGCCGAACAAAAATGGTGTTAATAAAGAGATCGTTTATCGCCGAAGCATATCGATTCGATCAGTTTTGTCCTTCAATGGACAATCCTGTTGTTATTGTCATAGTAAAAATTAATACCAATTAGCCCACGATAGAAAAAATTAATGCTTAACACACTCGACCATTGAAGCATTGAGATAAAATTCTTCTAATGGATGGGGCGACACGGACTCGGATTCAAAAAGAAAGATGATTTAAGCTCGAGCACGCTTACAATGTGTACAAGAGTTAAAAGAGAATCTTCTCATTTGCATAGGTATGCAAATACAAATAACCGGGAGGTATGTGTGTGTTTTATAGTCTCAACATCTCATCATCTACCAAACGAATTCGCTTTCGTTGATCGTTCGACGCCCGATGATGCATCATTAGAGCTGCCAGCTATACGTAAAAAGTTGTTATTAAAACGGAGATTTCGTTTAAAGTCTTATTGTCTCGTTTAACGAAAAGTTTCTTATTCTTATTAAAAACGGCAATAAAAAATTTTTCAATTACTGCTACGGTTGTAATGTTAAGTAAAAGTACTAAAAGTTTTATCGTTATAGAAAGCGAAGGAAACGAAAACGTAAATATTATCTTATTAGTGAAATGAAAATTAAAAAGCCAACGAAAGCGATAAGAATTTTTCAAGTCGTTGTCCTGGTGCTAATAAAACAATATGTGCGTTCGATTGGTAAATATTTGTTTTCAAAAAGTTCGCCACTACAGAAGCTTATAGTCAATATTAGAAATAGGTAATTTCTTTTTTTATTCTCCTAATTTACAAAGAAGATCTGTGCACCGTATTTCCAATTTCCTAGCATTCCTCTAGCTTTCTATCTATGTAATAAACGCATTTTTTTCGATTTGAATATCTCGACGCCGATGATGAAATCGAAAGTTACGCTTCGGTAAAAGTTTAGTTAATTAATTTTAATATTTTTGTGGGATCGGCGTAGGAGCACCTCGCCTAATTCGATCTTTGCGTTTGGTTTTTTCGTCTCTTATTTCATTAAACTCGACAAATCGCGAATTTACGATCGACCCGTTGAATACAGACCAAGCAGGTCAATCGCCTCTGTTCGATTTAATAAACAAAGGTTATTTTCAAATTGGCTTTTATCGGATTTTTTTCATACGCACGGCGTTTATGAGATAAAAAGAATTTAGAACGTGGTGGATATAAAATGCCTCGCATATCTGTTGATATGTTTGCTCGTTTAAATACACAAATTATTGAGGTTGTTGCCTTTGTCTATTACTTATGCACTATGGACAAGAGCAGAAGGTCGGAGCGAGTAAATATGTAACTCAATTCAACTACCTGCAGGGGTTTCTTTATTAATGTAAGTAACACAAGAGGAGTATGGAATTGCTAATCCACACACTTATAGGTGATTTATCCCCACATTGAATCCAATAAGAAGATAAGACTGTTATTTGAAAAAGTACCATGTCTTAGAAAGTTCTGGACGATTCTTCATGACAAAAAATAAATTTTTGTGTGTTCCCTAAACCTAATTCACGATGAGACCGTTAAGCAGAAACAGTTACCGCATTTCTGGTATAAACCCCGTGCATTAGCACCCAATAAACATTACATTAGTCGAAACAAATTGACCGTAATATTTCTTCATTGTCCTCGAGACAATGGCTGGTTGTCGCAGGAGTAACGCCAGTTCATTAGTATGTTCATGTGGAAAGCACTGCAGGTTAATGCAGCAGCGCACTCTTATTTCGACCAATAACAAATCGGAAAAATTATACAGTTGAATTATTTCTTCTTCGACGATCTAAATGAAAATAAAAACGTACCTCGAATACTAAGCAGGGAGAAATGGTTATCTATTAAAAACGAATTCGTTACGCTACTGTAGGTACATACGAATGCCTTGGCAGCCTACGTTTTATGAAAATAAATGATTATGGACATCGGTGGTTTATTCTTGATAACAAAGAATGAGCACAGAGATTTTTATAAATGTCGCATACGCAAATAATGTGGACAAAGCATATTGTTTAGCTGACGACGTCGTCCCCCACATTCGCGTCTAGAATGTGCATTGTCTGGACTGGCATTATCCTTATCTTTTATTTTTACGACGTAAAATGATGGATACAACAGTTTCATTGTAAAATTGTAGACGATCTGATGAAGGTGTGCTTGGAACTTGAAATATAACATTTTTGCGACGAGTTTTTTTTATACAATCAAGTAACAAATGATGTTTCTTCTTTACAGAAGCCAGTCGAAGGCGTCTTATCTCACAACGCGCCGAGATCGTGATAGAATAATCCCGGAATCGGAAACAGGTAGCTACAAGAGAACGATGTCCCCCAACGGCCACGCTCTCCCCGCTGAAACAGTCAATGGATCTCAGAAAATGAATAGCAGAGAAACGATATGGCCGTCGCACAGGCCCGTCAAAAACAACAGCATACTGAGGAGAGCCTCTATGAACGATAAGAACATAGACAAATGTGATGACAAAGAAGACTTAAAGAAATCGATGGTTTTGCCGGACGTCCTTCCCGTTAACGTAAAACTAATGGGGCCTAGATCTCAATACAACAGGCCGCCGCAATTGAGCCTCGACAGCGAGAGCGTCATTACACCAAAGTCTCCGGTAAAATCGCCGCCTTCATCGCCGCCAAAGAGTCCCTCCAGGACTTCTCCGTTTACTCCGCTACGAACGATATCCACGTCGAATTTAGTGACTTCCACGTCGATAGCAACCCTTCCCGCTGCCAGATTTTCCATTAGCTCAATCGGTTCCACCAACAGTACAAGAACATTACCAGCCACTTTACCCAAAACCAATCAAAGTCCGATTAAAGACGCTAAAGCCACCCCCACGCCTCCGGATTCTCCTCGACGGTTAACGCCGCCCACGCCGAAATCTCCACGAAGAGATTCCCCGCCTATCAAACCCTCCCTATCGCCCAGTTCCACGACAAAACTAACCCCCGTAAAGACTTGTTCTCCTAGCCATAGCACCCCCCTGACTCTACCTTCGTCTCCGCTCAGCGCGTCGTCGCCGTTCAGCACGGGCTCCTCCATGAACGCCCACTCGACGCCAGAACCCGCTCAGAAAGTTACCGAAGCCGTGCGGAATTCTTCGACGACGGACGCCGCCTCGCAAACCGAAAGGGACGACCTGCCGCCCACGCCTCTGCCCACGCGGAAGAAACTTAAAGAGGAAATCGAATGCGAGAAGCTGGCCGAAGATCTAGTCGACCACCTGCCCAGCTCCGACAGGCTGAAAGGATTGCTAGTTCCTCTACCCGAATACAAGAAACCTAGTGATTACGTGCAAGGCTTGTTCCGCGTCGACGCCACGAAGCCTAGATCTCTGAATTCGCCTTTTCGAAGTAAATGTAACACGCCGAGCAGCTCGCCGCCGCCTTTGATGGTGTCTGTTAGTTCCTCGACGCCTGCGATGGGATCCTTGCGGCTCAGGTAACTAGAATGTTTGTAGTTCCTTGGATAAATTTAAAACGTATTTGAATTGCAGCCTAACACCTACATCCCCCACGCCTTCGATACCCTCGTTAGAAACGCCGAGTCCTCTGTCTAGCTCGTCGATGTATTTCACCACATCCGAAGCAAAGGCAAAGCTCCTCTCCAGGTACAGCCAGGATGCGAGTAGTAGCTTCGTTAAAAATACCAAAGATCTGAGCGAGAAAAAGGTAAGATTTTATCGACGTTTCCTCTTCGAATTTTCCTGATACTTGCATTCGCAGGATGAGCTGGTCAGTCGTTTGGACAAAAAATTGGAGGTCCTTCGAGGCGAGCAGTTACTGGTAAACGACGAGTGCAAAATAAACGATACACTCGGCGAAAACGTAGAAATTCACATCAACACGGTGGCCAGTCCGCAGGAGGTAGCCAAATTTAGGCTTCACGTCGAAGAAGTGGGCAAAATAACCAGTTTGTTGTTGAGCCTATCTGGCCGGTTAGCTCGAGCCGAAAACGCCTTGATGAACATGGAAGACGAAGATCCAGAAAAGGTAATTGCCGCACAACACACCTAATACCGTTATAATAAGTAATATTTTCGTTTCCAGAGGATACTAGAAGGCAAGAGGGATAAACTGCTAAACCAACTGGAAGAAGCGAAGGAATTGAAGAACAGCATCGACCGGAGGAGCGTCAACGTCTCGAACATCCTGTACAAATACTTGAATTCCGAGGAGTTCGCCGATTACGATCACTTCATCAACATGAAGGCCAAGTTGCTGGTGGAATCGAAGGAAATCTCGGACAAAATCAAGCTGGGAGAGGAGCAGCTGTCCGCTCTCAAGGATATCCTCGTGATAACGGACTGAATTAACCGCGCGTGTATATATTTACGTATTAAAATGTTTATTACGACTCTGAGGACCGACTGATTTTGAGATTAAAAAATTTATTGGAATTGGATTCGATTGTAAAGTGTAAAAAGTTGGTTTTGTTACTGTTCGAGTTTTATCGAATGCCTAGTCCAGTGCTATTTCACGTGGAAAACATTGTTCGCTATTACTATTAATTAGTAGTATTGGATTATTTGATGTAATCTAAAATGTTTGTTTGATCATTTTATACAAAATTCTTGTATACTCACTGCTCGATTATTATTTCTTCTGCATCTACAAAATTAGTCTGATTAAAATTACAGTTATCCTGTATTTGTGTACATATTTTTCTTGAAGCGTGTTTAGATAAAATGGTCAAACGATACTTGAATATTAGGTTTTTCAAATGTTCAACAACTAATATTTGAAAAGACCATATCGTAGGGTGTACCTCGCAACATTCGTTAAAAGAGCTGCTTCTAAGAATAGAAATATTGGTCGGCTTGTAAGCCCATGGGTCATCTCTTACCATTTCGGGAAATGGCTAAGACGGTGACGCCATGGCGGATTTAGGCTGTTTTTTTGTTAAGTTTAGAGGGTGATCAGGATCTTGGGCGGGGTGATCTCTCGAGCTACGCGGGAAGAATTTTATTAGTTTCGAGAGATGATATTTTGCCTAAAGACAAACTCGTCCCTGAACAATTTTAATGTGCATTTTTTCATGTTTAGTTAGCGTAATTTAAGGCAAAAACGGACCATCTTATTAGGAAGGTTACTGTACACTTAAAGTATTTATTTTTTGTTTTTATTCGTTAATTTGCAATGTATATGAAAACCTTTCTTATATTATGGCGTTCCGTAACATCTTCCTACCAAGTATTTAATTAATATTCATAGTTGTTTAAAGTAGGTCGGAAAATTGTTTAGAATTTGACTTTTGTGAGTAAACGAACTTTGTGTAAATATAACGAATATACTGAAAAAGAAACGAATATTATGGTGCTCTGGAAATTGTATTATTTGTATTGTCCATAAGTTGTTACATTGTGATTTACTAGTTTCGAAACCAGTCGTATGTGTTTTCTTACATATTTTTAATTTATCAATTTAAGACCATTTAATTTGAATAGACTATTTCTGAGCTTTACGCAGTGCTTGCAATAAATAACCCATCATGAATATTTTTTACGTTTTATTTTTAACCAACGATTTTTCACTTAGTAATATCAAATAAATCCTCTATATTCTAATAACAAGTTGATCGAAATCATATAAATATATCAATACTGGTAAGATTACTTTCTTGGTTAGTTACTGTAAAAGTATTTTGCATTCTTTTCAAACAAATTCGTACTCTAATAAAATTATTACAATTCAAACAACGTTAAAGAAATTGATCGAAATCTATTAAAGATAAAGCAATGTCAGTACTGGTAAGCCTAGAAGTTGATAGAGCGTCTTCCTCATCATCTTGTTTAGCAACAGTCGATTTATTTTTGAAACTCTTTTGCTTAAAGATCTCGATTTTATTATTACACTCTTTCAATACCCCTGCCAAATCCTAAAATTTATAATTACATTACGAATACTTACATTGAGTAGATTCGATTACCTGCGGTAAATTACTCCTGAGCTCATCGAGGCCTTCTTGCAGATGCTTATATCTCGGATAGGAGGAAAAAATCGTCAAATGATTGGCAATCGCCAGGCAAACCTCGTTTTCGAATCGACCGTACGCCAGATTACAAACCGATGTCACTTGGCCCCTTTTCACATTATCCAGCAGCGAGCAAGTCGATGATGATTCGTATATTTTTATCAGCAGCAACCGTCCTGAAACATCGCACAGCCATATTTCTTGGTAATCGGTGTCGGAAGACACCTCCACGACGACTCCCACTGTATCGAAGTCGCTGAAGTTTTGCGAGAATTTCAAGTCGTTCAATTCTCGTATGGGTATCAGTTTCCGCTTGAATATCAAACTCATGTGATCTACGGGAGGTTTTTCTTTGAAGATGGTTTTGTTGGATGCGTACAAGTCGCCGTTTTTTCTAAAAGTAATAAAATTTTAATCTAATAATCTTGAATTAATTAGTAGTAGTTACTTTGGAAGGATATTGTAGATGGTAAAGCATTTTCCTTCTTTGAACATTTGAATTACATTCTCAGGCGGACCCCATAGAAAAAAATTAAAAGCCCTAGTAGGGCTTCCGTTTAAATCGACTAATAGGAGTTTTAAATTTGATACTACATCTCTCTTGATATTAGCTTGCATGCACATATTATTCATTCGAATATTATCCTGTAACTTAAAAACATATAAACAAAGAAAATTTGTAGTTACTCAACAACATACTTTCTTATGAACGTTGTTGTTAATTATTTCCATTTCTTTTTGCATTCCTTCAGCAATTCTCTCCATTCTTTCATATGCGTAACTTTCCCACTGTTGAGCTTTTCTCTGTTCTGCCTTTTCGTTTCTCCATACTGTAAACATGAGAAATTTTACTAATTTCGCAATAATAAGTTTATTAATAAGTTTACCTGATTTAGGTTCTGTTTTATCCAAGTATCTAAGCGGATAAACCCTCGCTATACAAACATCGATACCAGCAATAATTCCTCCGAACGGATTGATCGTGTGAATTGGTAATAAAATAGGCGAAGGGAATTTTTGATAGCCCAATTTAGTATCCCATTTAGCTCTTCTGGTGCAATTATAGTTGATTTTTAAATAGGTCAAATCTGTTGCCTGTAAAACGAAAACTATAGAATATTATTTTCGAACGTTTGATACTTTTGTTTACATCTAAAGGATGACATCCATCGCAATCGACGAGCTCAGCATTGCACACGACCAATTTCGCACCGATTCGCAGCGTTCCTTGTGCAATTCGATTGCACAGAGGCTCGTCGATGATGGTTCTGATGCCGTACCAGCCGTCAGTCAATTCCAAATTGTATTTAATAGGGTTCAACTGCAATAAAAAGCGGCTAGAATCGATCGTAGTTTTTTTGTTGTTTTGTTACCTTTTTTATAGCGGAAACGCACAAGACCATCCTCTTTTGAGGAGCGTCGTCTTTTTCTAAAATCCTTCGTAGCGCCGATCGTTCGACTTTATCGATTTCTCTGTCGTACCTACAGAAGAAGCTCCAATTATTATACAAACATTTCATAGAATAATGTAATACTACTTCAGATCTACTCTACTCTGCTCTAGACTACTCTAGGCTACGCTACTCTACTCTGAATGTACTCGGAATATACTCTGAATCTATTCCTGAATCTATTCTGAATCTACTCTACTCTGAATCTGCTCTACTTTGAATCTACTCTACTCTTAATCTATTCCTGAATCTATTTTGAATTTACTTTGAACTCTACTACAGGCTACACAGGCTACAGGCTACACTAGTAGGCTACACTACTATGATTAAACAATTACAAATGTACCTATATTTCAATTGTTGCACTACATTTTCAACGGTCAAAGCGCCTTTAAAAACGCCGGGCAGCATCCTTTCGTAACTGGCCAATTTCCAGATAATCCACTTGTAGTGGTTTTTTATCCAATCTTTGTGAAGCAATTTAACATCTATGCCTTGCATCGCTTCGAATGCCCGGCTAATTTCGCTTAAACCAATTAGATTTTTGGTGTTTGGTACTACAGTAGCTCCATCTTCGGTGGTGATGCTGGCAGATGAACTAAAAAATTTACATTGAAAATAAATTGATTAATTAAAGAGTAAGATCTTACTCTTTGAAATGAATATCTGCAGCGTTTTGTGGAGTGATGCAGAACAAATCTTCTACAGCGTTGTGTCCCAAAGTGGTATTATTTATAAAAGATTTAAGAGATAATTTATTATTGTGTGATTTAGATTGGTATAATACTCCTCGTTTCGGCCTGAAAAAAATAATATTAACACTCCACGATAATAAGTGAAAATAAAACTCACTTTTTATCACTTTCGCTCTTCTCTTCCTTCAATTTTCGCATAAAATCCCGTCTATCCTTTATCATCTTCAATTGCTCTTCTAATCTCGCAATCATATCATCAAACTCCGATTCTACCTCAGCTACAGTTTTATCTGCAGGAGTTTCGAATGTTACTATCGAATCGCTCCGTAATTCTGTTGCTTTTTCCTCGAAAATAATTTTCTTTTTTGTATCTGCACGCGAATTGTGAACTTCAGTTGGATAATTAACAGGTGTAGAACAAGTCGGGATGGATTTGGGGGTGTTAAATCCCCGAGTGGGAGTCTTAATTGGCGATATTCCCGCAAAGTCTTCGTCAAATAAGAGTTTGGCGGATTGTAATTTAGATTCTGATATAGAGAATTGTTTGCAGGGCGATAAACGAAGTCCGCATTTAGACTTGACGAAACTCCCTTTGGAGTTATTGAGTTTTTTTATGGGGGTGATGGAAGTTTCGGTTGCTATACTTTTGGAAGTACTAGTGGATAAATAAGGTTTTTTTGGTATGTAATTTTGGTTGTCATTGACTAGTAACTTATCAAAGTAATTTAATTTCTTGTGAAGTACACCATTTTTTGGGGTGGTTGAGGGTTGTTTCGGAACAAAATCACGATCGTCTCCTATAAATTTGTCGAAGAATTGCAACTTGTTCTTTTGTAATGCTTGGGTTTTAGCAGTCTGTGCTACTTCTGGATTTTGCAAGTCTGTTTCTAAAATAATTTTCTGTTTTTCTATTGCTTCTGGATTTAATTGTATTTTTTGACCGGAAGCGCTGGAAAACCCTCTTGCTGTAGGTGCGCACTTTAATGGCGATAAATCTTCATCCCCGATGAACTTATTAAATAATTCTAATTTGTTCTTTACCAAATTGTTTTTGTTGCAACTTTCAACAGTTTTATCTGTATCAGTGTTGTCAATAATTCCTTTGGCTTTTCCTAAAGCTTGGGAATCTAGTTTTATTCTTTTATTGGAGGCAGTGGAGAATCCTCCGGATTGCATGGTGGAATTTTTGGAAAAATTATCAGGTCCTTTTGGAACTTGAGGTATTTTAAAAGATTTGGAATTGTTAATACTACTGGTACTTGGAATGTTTTCATCCATATCACTGCTTTCTAAAATGCTTTTATATTTTCCTATAACTTCTGAATCTAATTTAATTCCTTTGCCGGAAGCTGTAGAAAATCCTCCTTTCTGGGTCGAGGAATTTGTGTGCACAATAAGTCTTGACGAAGGAGTATTGGAATTTCCTATGAACTTATTAAACGATTCCAGTTTATTCTTAACTAAATTTTTAGAGTTGTTTTGGCGTAAATTGCTCTCTAATTCTACATTATCAAAAATATTCTTAGTTTTTTCTAATACTGTCGGGTTTAATGCAACTTTTTTACCTGAGGCACTTGAAAATCCTCCTAAAATGTTCGAGGAACTGGCATTTTGTGTATCACTTTTTTTATCACAATTATCTTGAGATTCATTCACATTGGTCAATAGACTGCAATCAGTTTTATATTTCTTATTTACAGGTAACTCACAATTATCTAATGGACGTTTTCTAGATTCAACACCTTCCTTGATAAACTTCATATAAGTACTATAAACTTTTACTGCCAGTGCAACATCAATTTTGTTAAATCCATTAAATTCAGTAAATGTATCTTTATGTGTAATTTTAACTTCTGATTCATTAGGATCGTTTAAATCCTCTACGCTTTTCTGTTTTTGTGTTAAAGATTTTTTTAGAAAACTGTACTTATTTACTCTCGAAGTACAGTGGTTTGAATTCAGGACGCCTTCGAGGAGTTTTGAATGCTTTTCCGCAGCCTCTCGACTAATATGAATTGCTGTACCATTGGCTGTTTGAAAATTCGAACTTGTAGGCAGATTTATCGGAGAAGGTTGGTGGGAAGATATTTTTTCCCATAAATTATCACAATCAGTAGTCGTACTCGAGTCATTACCTAAATTCACAGGTGGTTGAGTAGAATTCTTAGTTTTGTCATCATTGTGCACAGGTGATGTTAATCGTTTATTTGTAAAACTTGAATCACTTTTCTTATTGTTCAGTAGCAACTTGTATGCAAGATTTCTATTCTTTTCGATTTCTTCGAGACTGTCCAATGAATCGATCGAATTTAAATCCGTTCGAAAACTGAAGGGTTTTTCGCTTAATTCTAACGTATTAGTTACATTTTCTGGCTCTGGTTTAACATCAACAAGTCGTTTCGCCGGTTTTTCTTTGAATTTTCTTCGAGTACGACGAAAACTGCTAAGCCGACTGGAATTTAAAGTAGGCGATAATTGCTTATTTACATCTAGTTCGTTGGGCGTTGTGCCATTTAACAGAATATTTTGAACTTCGATGTCATTATCCTTTTCCATTTTTACAATAAAATAACTAATAACAAATTCAAATTCAAAATTAACTTATTTTAACCTTAAAATAATTATCTTCTTTTACTTAAAACGAAAAGGCAAAAGGCAGGTAGGAATATATATGCAAAAAAAAGAAGCTTTTCATATCTACACTGTTTTATTGTATGAAAAAGAAAGAGATGAAAACATTTCTATCTGAACGCATTCTAACTAATGACATTTGACGTATTACGAACCGGATACATTTAAGTTGTCATTATTCAACCATTTCTCTTTTTTGACACCAATTGAGAAAGATACAAAACGTAAGTAATTCTTTATGTTTTTTTACTATTACTTATCCAAAATATTTTTCGAAATACAACAATTTATCTATAAATTTTACTGTTAATCGTTTGCAATATTAGTTATTCTATTAAATGAAATTTTTGCAAGTATATTTACAAAAACCTAACACCATGCCGCCGCCATGCGGCTGGTCCTTTATCCTTTATCGTATGAATTTCGTTAAATGGCACTTAAATTCAATAAACCTGCATTAATAATTTGCAGATGGCGGACGCAGCTCCAGCCGGTGCACGTGGCGGATTTCGCGGAGGTTTCGGTGGCGGCGGTCGCGGAGGCGGCCGTGGAGGCCCCAGGGGACGTGGTAGAGGTCGCGGTAGAGGCCGCGGGCGCGGCAAGGAAGACCAAAAGGAATGGATTCCCGTCACCAAACTAGGACGTTTGGTCAAAGACGGCAAAATCCGTTCCCTCGAAGAGATCTACCTGTTCTCTTTGCCCATTAAAGAGTTCGAAATCATCGATCATTTCATTGGACCTGATCTTAACGATGAGGTAATTTTAATGATACATTTGTACCTACTGATTCTGATGTATGTTTTTTTTGTGTGTAGGTTTTGAAAATTATGCCGGTACAGAAACAAACCAGAGCCGGTCAAAGGACCCGTTTCAAGGCCTTCGTAGCCATTGGAGACAGCAAGGGTCACATTGGTTTGGGGGTAAAGTGCAGCAAAGAAGTCGCTACTGCTATTCGAGGCGCCATCATTTTGGCTAAATTGTCTGTCGTGCCTGTTCGTAGAGGTTACTGGGGTAACAAAATTGGTCAACCTCACACCGTACCTTGCAAGGTAACATACTGCGCGAATTAATTCGATATAAAATGCAACTAATTTGAATTTATTTGCAGGTAACTGGCAAGTGTGGTTCCGTAACTGTGAGACTCATTCCCGCACCTCGTGGTACCGGTATTGTATCTGCTCCGGTACCTAAAAAGCTACTGCAAATGGCTGGTATCGAAGATTGTTACACATCTGCTAGAGGTTCGACTGGTACTTTGGGTAACTTTGCCAAGGCTACTTACGCGGCCATTGCCAAAACATACGCTTACCTGACACCCGATTTGTGGAAGGAAATGCCTTTGGCTAAAACTCCTTACCAAGAGTTTGCCGATTATTTGGCGAAGAACCACCGAGTGGTCACTGGACCGTCCCGTGCTGATCTTTAATTTAATTGTCTTTTGATAATAAATATTGACGAGGAGCCACTTGCGTTTAATTTAGTAAATCCTTGATAAGGTTGATACGATAAACAAACAGATAAACTAAACATTTCTGTTTTAAGAAAGCGTGCTTTGTATTTTGGTCAATTTTTAATGGCACGCAATAATTCTTTTGCTTAAAACGTGATCTCGTTAACCTTTGCAGTTCTATATTTGATAAAGCGTGTCGTTCAAATTAAATTCGATAAAGAAAAAGGCGATTCATGCTGATTTGTGGATTTATAGATAACATTTTGACCTGCTTCGAGTGATTGCATAGTAAAGTTAGAACCCAATAATACAATCAGTTTACAACTGGCCGTGTTCTGGAGTAACGCAACATGGAAAACTACACATCGGATAGTAGTGATAGTGAAAATAGTACCAAAGTGATTGATTATGCCTATTTGTTGTTGGACCCAGAAGCGATAAGCCAGAAACTCGAAGAGTACTTAGACGAAAAGAAATCGTTTCTACTAATAGAAAAGCAGATACTACACCACAATCACCTGCCTTCGTTACCGGACATCCTATTTAAATTCTCCAACACCAGAGTTTTGGATATAAGCAACACAGGCATCGAAGAGCTGCCGGATGTCTTCCAGTTCTTTCCGAATATTACATCATTCATAGCCAAAAATAACTTTTTAACCTGCAAGTCGTTGCCCAGCTCGTTTTCCAAGAGCACCACTTTGAAGGAGCTCAATCTCAGCGGAAACAGGCTGGTCAACTTTCCCGAACAAATTTTGGAATTCACCAACTTGAAATTCTTGTATTTGGGCGGAAATGGCATGCTCGAAATATCGAAGAACATTTGGAGATTGCAACAGTAAGTAACGCTCTACCAGTTTGCGAGTGCATTACAATTCTAATTAATTTCAGTTTGCAAATGTTGTCTTTTGGTGGCAACAAACTCACCGAAGTGCCCTCGACATTGGGATTACTCGAACATCTGCAAGCTTTAGTATTATGTGATAACGAATTAGAAAATTTACCGGCAAATATCGCCAATTTGCACAAGCTAAAGTCGTTGTTTCTGCACAAAAATAAATTAAGGACTCTACCGCCTGAAATAGTAGCTCTAAAGAATCTGAGCGAGGTAAATTTAGCATTATAAATCGCTTATACAAATAGTTTATGCTGTATATTTCAGTTAAGTTTGCGAGATAATCCTTTGGTGGTGAGATTCGTTAGTGAAATGAGTTACAATCCGGCGAGTTTATTAGAATTAACTGCGAGGACAATGAAATTGTACAATATACATCACGAAAAAGGGGACTTGCCAAATACTCTGCACAATTACTTAGATACGGCTCATCATTGCGTGAATCCCCATTGCAAAGGTTTGTTGATTGTTTGTTTCACCTTTGATACTCATTAATAATTTCTTTTTCTAGGAGTATACTTTGATAACAGAGTGGAGCATATAAAATTTGTGGATTTTTGCGGGAAATATCGAATACCTTTACTCCAATATTTGTGTTCTTCAAAATGCGCGAACACAGCCAGCACAAATATCAACGAAAAACCATCGAGGTCTTATATGATGAAGAAAGTACTTCTGGGTTAACCCAGTTGGACCAATTATGTAAATGCTATTTTCAGTCAATAAAACTTATCACGTCTCCAGTTTTGTATTAATTTTTCTCCGGAGTTTGAGAGTGTTTTTTGGTGAATGTATGCGGCAATATGAAACGTAAAATTTTATTTCCATAACCGATTTCATTACAATATAAAAAACGGTAAAGCAAAGAGAAGCACAGGTCCGTACTTAACATATATCACATTATTCTTAGTCTAAACATTTCTAAATTACACCAGTTGTCCACAAAACTTTTAACAGAATTATTTCAGTTGCTTTTTAGCATAGTAATTTATGTTTAAAAGCAACTGCAGTATTTCCATTTAAGTTTTCGTGTGGACACGCAATATATTGGAATTTCGGGCTAATTATATCGCCTAAAGTATTTACAAAACACCTATGTACATGTTAAAATATTTACATTCAAATAATAAAAGTTATATAGATAAATATTTACAAATATAATTATAATACATAACAATCTAACAACCTTTAGATTCATTTGAGGAAGTCTTACAATGAGATTCTTTCAATGTTAGTGGCGGAATCTGAATCTTAGTCAGCAATAGTATACATTTTTTAATACAATTCTTGTATCTAACCTACCGATACTCAATTTAAATTTAACATAATAAGTACTAGGACTAGTTAACATTGTGTCACTTTTTACGATTATATATTTATGTACTTAAATATTAAAAATGTACTCGTAAAATAACAAAATAACTTTCGGCCAGTAATTTTTTAGTGAATTCAAATCGTTATTGCGGCGATATCTATCCCTAAAAGCGAATTTCGATTACATTGTGTAACTCTAATTTTATTACATTCAAACGTTAACACCGGCTAGAATACGTTCCTTCCGGATAAATTTCGAACACTTAGGCCAAACTTTCGGTTATGCATATATCAAACAGTTTAACGGCAAACAAAACCAGCAACGTACATTTTATCGATCAGATCCGGATTCCTGTGCTGGCGAATCGTGAAGCATTTTCAATGAAATTCTCGCTAACCCACGTCGTTGCAGTAGGTCAATCGTCGATTTCGTTCTCGTTTTCGCTTTCGCTCTCTGAAATGAACTATTTTATTGCTCGTTCGCCGGATTTTATGCACGACAGTACCTGAATTGAGTTCTCTAACTAGAGTAGACATGGCGTTTGTAACCGAATCGGCGGCTTCTAACAGATCGTTTCTCAGCGAACGCCCTATCGAACCAGGCGTTCCGTTACCGTTACCTAAAAAACAGAAATTTAATAATGTTTTTTAATGTTATTATACTCCATTCGCCATCAGGGGATAGCGATAACATTCTCGTGAAATAGTGCCCTCTAGTTTTGCAATTTGGAATCATTCGTGCTGTCTTTAGCATACAAAATTAGGTACTATCACCTGATAGCGAACGGAATATAGCGCGTTTCTGATTACTTTGCGAGTGTGGAATATGCTGCCTGTCGTTCTGGCCCATGAGACACATGGAATTCGACATGGAATTGCTCATAATCGACGGCATACCCATCGGAGTTTGGGGGGCGCTTCGAGGATTAGGCTGGCTCGATGGCTGAACACCCGGTGGCAACGGAGGCGATTTCGTACTTCGCGGCGACGAGTTAGGCGTGCTCCTCGGAGACGATTGATGATTCTGTCGTAAAAACGTACAATTTTCGAAACCTTAACAAAAAAAAATCGTAGTACATACCTTCAACATCTTCATTAAACCCTCCAGCTGCATCATTAGTTGGCGCCTCGAATCCTGCAAAGTGGTTAAATGCGTTTCTAATTCATCTTTGCGCATTCGCAACGCGCGCAATTCGTTCATCAAAGCCGGATTATCGGTAGCGTGGCCGCTATTTTCCAATTCTTGTTGACGTCTACAACACGATAATTACTTATGCAAATAAAACCGATATACTTCCAATCGACTAACCTCAGTCTCGCTATTTCTCTCATAATTTCCCTATTCTTGGACTCCAACTGATTGATTAGTTCTCGTTGTGCTCTTGTAGAGTCCATGCCCAGGCAGGCTTCCGAAGGAACTCTTCCCTGAAAATGTATCTACATTACTGATACATTTTGTTCTTTATTTGAATTTTTTCACTCACCATTCCCGATCGGGCTTCCTGCGCTAACTTAGCTGCATATCTGGCGATCAGCCGGTGTTCGTCATCGCGGGCGCTATCCAAGCTGTTGAATAAAAATCTATGAATAGACGTAACAATCTATAGACTAAAACAGTTTGGGGAAAATATCACGCTATTATTATTCTGGATACGTATTGTTAATACCTTCTCGCTGTAGATCTGCTATCCAGACTGCCCATTCCATCGAAAGCTGGAAAATTACCCTCTGGGAAGCCGTTATGCGAAGGGATCGGAGATGGCGGTCTAAAATTGCATATAATTAGATTTATTAAAATTTTATCAAGTAGAATACACTTACACAATATGAGATAGATTTAGAGTCTTCTCTGGTTGTTCGGGAAATCTCGGAAAATGGTTTTTCTGCCTATCCGGAACGCATCGAAACGATTTCCTCAAAGATTGTCCGATGGTTTTACTCGGCGACTACAACACCAATAAATAATTAAACTCATCGAATTATACGTATCAAAACGAGTATAATGTTAGAATAGGTTACCTACTGATACAATGTATATTCCTCTTCGGTTAATAGTGTTAAAAATCTCGATACTAAATGTTTCTAAATTATCAAATCAAATAATTTAAAGGCTTACAAAAGAAGCGTGTTCTTTTACGTGGTGGTCCAGCTGGTGCGGGGACGAGACTCGACCTCTCCAAAAACAGTCTTGGCATAAAGTGTAATGGGGACATCTCTGGCAGGTGTAGCGAAAACCGGTGAAGTTTTCCCTTTGACAGGCGTCGCATTGCACCGGATGAATAACTACAATAACGTATTTAATTTAACGTATTTTCCAGGTGCAATGTATTTACCGTTTTCAACTGTAGCTAAGCGATGCAGTAAAGGCAACCATACCAATGCTGCTGGACCGGGATCAGACATCATAACGTCCAAAAAATCGTTTACGGTCACTTTGGAGTTCTAAAATTCGAAATTTCGATTTTATAGGCGCATAAATCATTTTTAATGTACGGCTTACTGGGTTAAAAATCGTATTGGCAAGAGAATCTGTGTAATTAAATGTCGGCGATTCGTACACAGCGGCAGGAAGTGCCAACACTTCTTGAAGATATTCGTTGAATTTCCATTGCAACAACAAACCATTTCCATCGGATATTTGCGAAAATATATCTGCAATGTTATTTTAGTTAACACTCATAAAATACGGTCTCTAAAAAACACTTACAACGAAGTTTGTCCATTAATTTGCCAGCACATAAGGAAGCCAGGGCAACTTTAATAGAAAACACTCGAATTTTACCCACATTATCCCTAAAAAACAAAAAAATTAACATTAATTCTGTACACAAAACTAGCGCATTTTTTTTACTTACACAGTTGCATATGCAGCCAGGATCCAATTCAATAACAAACTTACACAAACGTCAACGTGAGCCTGTTGTGTTGGTGGGGCCCTTTTATTTAAACTATGGTAGAGGGAGCACAACAAAGTTTCCAAACGGGCTACACTTAATTCCTGCGAGGGTTCTAAAGCGTGCAGACCTTGTTCTCTAAATGCTTCGATTATATTCCATATATCGACAGCATGCACTACAAAATACAATTACATTTAATTGTGATATTCCTATTCTCATATACAATAAGATAAATAACTTACAACTGACTTTCTTCTGTATAAATCTGAGTTTTGTAGCAGTTCTGTACGATGCGAAGCGTATCAGATCAAAATTATGAGCGCTCATTTCATGTATTAAAGCTAGTTTGTGGTCAAAAGACCCCTGTAGGCCTTCTTGACTCTGCATGGCTAAAATAATTAGAATTTTTCATAAATTACAAAATGCCATTCAAAAACAAAATCTCTATATTAACACATTGGTTTTACTTGATAAACAAAATGCAATAACACATTATTCATAACAAACAAGATTGCATTCAACTGAACAACTGAAACTATGTTTTATATCAATAAACTGTAATAAGGTTAAAGTTGAAGAAGTCAAGAAATTAAATTTAATTGACCTACATAACGATATCTTTATTATTTTTACTATCTTTTTCATACAACTATCGATGGTAGAAAGTTATATTGTTGCATTAATAACAATTTGTGTGGGCAAATGTTACACTAACAAAAATAATGTAGGAATATTAAATAAAAATAATACCGAAGTGAAAGTTAACAGTACAAAACGTGATAAATACTCACTGCAAAAAATTTCTTCATCGAAACATACCAATCAATAAAACTTGCTTCTTGCCTTCAAATTTTAGTAACTAAACTTCCACCCTCATTCCTAAAACTTGCCCTCAACATCAATGAAATATAGGCCAGAAGGACTTCACAACAAAGTTTGAATACGATTAATATCTAGACACATTCAATAACGGCATTATGCGCAAAAACTCGAGTACAAACACTCATCAACACAGTTTTAATTAATAGTTTGTACAATTTTTGTTATTGATCGAGCACCAAATAAGAGAGATTCCCAAAAAACAACTTGATGACAGTGACAGACCTGTCAATGTTTTGACAGTCAATTAATATTCAATTCTTCTAATTTCTTATTCTTACTAGAAAGTGGCCTCTTCTTATATAGAAATTTCAAATATAAAAAAAAGGTAAGTTTAGATGAACTGTCAATGTCATCTGTCATCTAATTCGTTCATTGGTCATTTTTGTACTAAAAATAAACAAAGCCAATATTTTTACTTTACTATTTCCAAAAAATGCAGAATGTAACACGTAACTGAGTCTGATCAAAGAGTATATTTTTGTAGAAATGAATTACGTGAATCAAAATGCAAGTGGGTCATTGGCAAAAAATCTGCGATTTGGGATCGGGCGCCTTCGGCGTGGTATCAATGTGGAAAAATGACGAAAACGGCGATCAAATCGCAATAAAGATGTGCAAATTCTCCACGAACCAGAATTTAACCGAAAAACAAAGAATGAGATGGCACAGCGAAGTGGAAATGATGAAAATCATCAATCACCTGAACGTGATCAAACACAAGCGTATACCGGAGGATCTCGAAGGGTTCTTATTAAAAAACAACCCCACAGGTTTACCTATTCTTTCTATGGAGTACTGTCGTAAAGGGAACTTAAGGCACGTCCTGTTGAAGCCTCAAAACTTATCTGGTCTGGAAGATGAAGACGTACGATTTGTTTTAGGAGACATTTCCAGCGGTCTTCAGCACCTTCACAACCTCAAAATAACCCACAGAGATTTAAAACCCGACAACATTGTTTTACAATATTGCTCCGATAGAAAAAACGAAACTGTTTACAAGATAATCGATCTTGGTTATGCAAAAGAACTAGGAGATTCCATCGTGAGTTTTGTTGGTACTTTGCATTATTTAGCTCCGGAAATATTTGAAACACAAAATTACAATCACGGAGTGGATTATTGGTCGATGGGGATTCTGACTTTTGAAGTTATTACTGGAATTTTGCCATTTTTAGATGCAAACACTCCATTTCAACGATTCGATAAAATCAAAATGAAAGGTACTATTTCTCCCATACTTTTTATCAACACACTAAGTTTGCTTTCTTGTAGGTCCGGATGACATATTCATATACCACAACTATTCAGGAAACGTAACAAATTCTACTGAAATGAAAAAAGAAAATCTAATTTCCTCGTGTTTGAAAAACTACATAGAAATTTGGCTAAGGCGCGTGTTGAATTACGATCCACAAATGAGGTTACAGAATTTCCCTGAAGAGACCAAAACGCTGGATTACTTAACGAAAGCGTTACAAAAACAGATTGTCAACGTTTTCTCTTTATTCAAATTAGAGAAGTACTCGTACGAAATAACAGAGGGTACCCGAATAGGCACCCTAAAAGATTGGATATCAAGAGACATTAAAGTTAACAAGACTGATCTAATCCTGCTTATGACAAAAGATAGTTTCGGGGCCTCCGATAACGATCTGTTACTAGATGTATTAAAAGGAACAGATGTATTTGTCACAGGCAAATACTTTTTACCCGACAAGCTCACATACAACTACCCGAAACTCATCAAAGAAGTGATGAAATCGGCTGTAAATTTCAATACAAATTTCGCCAAACCTCTGAAATCGCAGCTTATATACTTTATAACTGTGGAGAAAACTGCAGCTCTCCATTTCCAGACCAGCTTCAACTTGTACTTGAACTATCTTAATCACGTTCTAGGTACAATAAAACATCACAAAACCTCCACGACAACGCAAATCAATCAATTGGTGACGAAAATAAGTTGCTACAATAACATAAAAATAAACGCCGAGATAGATTTAAAAAGCGACATCGAGTACAAAAATTGCCTGAAAAACACTCAGAGACTCCTAAGCAGCTTTGAACGAAGCTTTAGCGACTTCTCAGCGTTCGAAAAGCAGATCAAACAAGTCAGTAACCGTCTAAAAGTCCTCTCCAAAGTTACCGAGAAGATCCAGAAGATAATTGAAAGCTACAATTTAGAAGACGAATACAAAACAGCTTTAAAACTTTTAGAACAAAGCAACACCAGAACGCAACAATTTTACATTAACGTAGCGAAATTGATATCTTCCACCATTCGACGTAAGGAGAGTGTATTCAGAAACAAAGAGTTATCGGCGTTCTTCAAAGTGATCGGAAACGTATTGACTCACTGCTTCGATTTGATTGAGTGGATTCGAGAGTACAACAAGCATAACGAGGAGCTGCTGCTCGCTTTCGAGGAAAATAAACGGTTGCATTTGAACCTGATGTTTAAAGCCGCACAGAAAGAGACCAAAGCGAAGGGGACTAGGAGAAGCTCGATGACCAAGAGTCTGGCATTGGAACTGATCGATCTACCGGTGACTTATTTGATTCAACAGAACCAGGACTTGCGTTCCAGCCTGCAAGAGGTTTTGTCGTCTATTGATTGTTATAGTGATCAAGATTTGCTCAAACCTGTTAACGATTTTTAATGATACCTGTTGGATTAGTATCAAGCAGATCATTATGCCCTTTAAGTATGTTGTAAATACTTTATTGGGTTATTTACATTTTTAATGTGTGCTGTAATATTTACCTACATTTTATTAATATGTTGTTTGTTCAAATAAAAGTTATATAAATGTTTGAAGATTTGTTAGTGAATTGACTTTAATGAGCTTTAATAAGAGTAAATGGGTACAATTCCATTAATAAAGAGTTCAATAACTGAGTAATATGTGATATTAGAGGATATGTATTTAGTGTTGCCTATCTTTCAGTAGATTATCATGTGTTTGTTTATTGATTTAACGCAGTCGCACATTTACAACTCAGTGGTTCACAGCGTTGTCACGTCAGGCGGCAAATCACTAGATTTTATAATTTTTTTTGTGAATTGTGAAAACTTATTCAGGGCTCTAAATCCTTTAGTTTTGCAAGTTTATTGTAATTCTACAAAATTAATAATCAACAAGCTAATTTTGCCAATAAATATCAATACACTAATGATTTTTGAATATTTCTTAAGGTTTTAATAACACAAAATTAGGACAAAAATGAACAAAATTTTTATTAACCCGTAATAGTTGGTAAATTGTACGATTTAAATTAACTCCAGCATATTGAAATCTGATACCGTATCATAAGTTATTTTTAGAATCGCCATATAGGAACTTTTAAAATTTAGATCTGGCAACGCTGAGACACCTGCACTTTCGATTTGACACTTTTGACACTGACAGCAAACCTGTTCAGGAGAGGAGAATAAATAATCAAAATTCAATTAAGTATTCGTCATGATCGCAGCGTCGAGCGTACCGTGCATTTAAATTAGTCGCTCAGTGAACGGTGTGTGTTCCTCCGCTATTCTTCTAAACGATGAATAAAAGTTGACGCGTCGCCTAAAACAATCGCCAATTAGGATACCGTAGAAGTGGCAGCCGCAATTTATTTATAAAACCGAGGTCAGTAGGCCGCAGTTCACCCCCTAAATGAACAGAAAGCATGTAAACAGCGACATGGACTCGGGCCTGGGCAGCGACGACGACCACCGCACCCGCACCAAGGAGCAGAAACAGCTCCACAACCAGCAGCTCCTGAGCGGCTGCTTCATCGACGCCGCGAGCCTCTCCGACGACTCCGAGGTGGTCGAACAGCGTCGCAATGACGAGCGACGGCAGGGCTCCATGCTCTTCCAAACGTCCATACCCCACTATTCGATGGTGCAAATGCAACCGCGCGAATTCGACTCCGGCTCCAACAGCTACCCCGACACCAGCACCCCTTTCAACTCGATCGTCCACTTGGACGCCAGCGAGGCCGAGCGGGCGCGCAGCAAGTCCCCGTTGGGCTTCTACGTGGACCTGAGCGACGTGCCCGAGGCCTCGGCCTCTCCGCCATCCAGCTCGGTCAAGAAGAACATCTTCTCGATGGTGATAGACTTCGAGGGGCCGAAGAAAGAGAAGCCGGTGAAGCTGAGCTCGAATAGGAAACCGAAACCGGCCAACCGGTCGAATCTGTTGGTGCAGAGCGGGAGTTTGTCTTCCAGCGTGAGTTCGGTGAATTCGAACGTGGCCGGAACGTCCAGGCAGTCCGATGAGCTGGAAGTTTTGAGCGCTACTTTGGTGAAAAATCTGTCGGTTTCTTCCAAGTCTTCTAGCAGCAGCGAGAATGTGATGGGGAGGACCGAGGAGCTGGAAGGAGCTTCTGAGGAGCCGGTGGTCGAAAAGGATGAGGAGAACGAGAAAACTTCGAACGAAGATAAAAAAACAATTATTCAAAATTTGGGGAACAAAAATGAAAAACAGGTATGTTTATTTTTGATATGTTGGGTACTATTGCATGTGGTAATGACAATTAGAGTAATCTCCATGAAAGGTAGTTATTTAATAGTCAAAATGTGGGTAAGTGCAGGTTTGTTTGCAATAATGGTCAATTCTATGAGTTGAACAAAGAAAGATTATTAAAATAGCAGTTAAAGCGGGAAAGTTGCAATCCCACAATATCGCTCTTTCTTTTTCCTTTATATGAAACTAATGGAAGTTGTCTTTGTTGCGCCCATTCCATACAAATTTGCTCTTGTCTGTATATTGATTCGAAATTTAGTATTGTATATTTGGCAAATTCTTGGCTATAAAATGCGAATTATGCAAGGCAGACAGTTTTATATACTTTATTTATCAACCAAATAATGTTACCTGTGATAATTTTTTTTATCAATGTACCTTAGAATTTATTTTATCTTATCTCGACTTGCAGTTATTTATAATACAATGTACTTATTATTAATTAAATTTATTGCCGACAATTCGACGGTAGGCTTTTTCCAAACTTAGAAAATAATCGCAAGTTATTCCCAAAATTCGCCTATTGTTATTCGAATCTTTACCCAGTAGTTTCGTTTCTTAGAACAATTTGACTATTTGTATAGGTAATTCAATGAAACATTCATCCATTAGTAGTTCTTTTCATAACTAATTATACTATAAAGATTATTAACTTTTGTATAATTTAATCTGACGCCTAAAGGCAAAAGGTTATTGACAAAGAACCTAATTTTTATACACAGGTTGTTTTAATGGATGGGCAAAACTTTTTTTTCTTTATTGTTTAATATTTAATAATTAAATTCAATAAATCCCTGTCACTTAAATCATAATACCTACTCTCGAAGATTAGTTACCAGAAAAAATCATCTAAAAAAACTGGTTGATAATATCGATCCTTTTTGATTAAATTAAGTGCCTATTCAAATCGATCAGACTATTTTTTTTGGCTTACGATTTAAATAGAATTGTTATCTCCATTTTTTTTCTATTTAGTTAGTACACAAATTACAAAATTACCATGAAAAAATGGCAAAACGTTCTCGGTTCAATCGATTCGACGTTGAACATTGAAGGCCGAATTATCGACTGACCTGCGTGATGATGACATAATTTGTTTCATTGTAATGTTTAAAAAAAACTACGGTTTAATGATTTGCCATATTTGCAGATATATCCCGTTCGTGGCCTATTCGGCCATGGTTCTGTATTTTTTTAATTGCATCCACTGGTTACTACAATTCCTTTATCCAATTCATTACGAATTTATCGGCTTATCGATGTATACAGGGTGTTCTGTATTCATACCACCAAATTTTAGTCAAAATAGTTCACATACTGTAGTAAAAAGCTTCTTTTACAATAGAGGATTTAAAAATTATCTAGTTGTTCTACAGTTTTCATCTTCAAACTGATCTTTTTTATGTTTACCAATTTTTATGATTACTTCATCGCTCCATATAATTGCTTTTATTTCGAAAGAAATATAATTAACAATGCATGTATCGACACTTACCAGCCCAATAAAGACGAGCGATAAACTCGCTGTTTACTAATAGACTTCACGATTAATCTCTGGTAGTTTTTTTATTTGTTTTATGTAGTTATTCGTGATGTTATGACGGAAATAACGCGCCCCGTGGAGGTCAGTGTTTTTTGTTTTTTTATATATATTTTTCTATTTGCTCTTCTACAAAATAAAGAATTATGTACATAGAAAGTGAAATAGGTCGTATTTATTTACAGCAAGTAGTGAACGATCGTTGGGTATAGCACAATTTTATTCAGATTCGTTTAGTGAAAGTTTTCGAATGTCCCCGGTATGTATTTATTTGCAAAATTTTATATAGTTATTAACGATTAAAAAATGTACAGGTCGCCTTTATAATATTTGCTAAAACAAATAATTAGTTATATAAATAGTTTAAAAGTTTTTTTTAACGATCCAAGACCGGTGTTATCGAACCAAACAAATTAGTCTACAATACTTTTTTTTCTTATCAATTATGCGGAATATCCGTTCGATGCGTTTCAATCGTGTCTTCGCAAATCGGTTGCATAAAAATTCCTCGCGCGTTCCCCTTATCAGGCAAAAAACATTACGAACATTGAAAAGTTTCACTTTGCACGTTCGACTGTTCGATTCGACGGTGATTTAAGTGAAAAAAAAAGTCCGATATTCCCCGTATAATAAAATATGGCCGTTGTTTTACAGACCTGCCAGCAATTCGTGCGACTATCCGATCTGGAATGCCAAAAAACAAAAGTCGATTTGAATTTCACGCCGAGGATGAGCAGGTAAAATAGTTGTTACGAATTGTTAGTTTATGTAACTTTAGCTGCATGGTAGTACCAATTTATAGAACCTGTAATAATTGTAGTGACTTATCGTGTTGAATTGAATACTTAACAGTTTAAGTAGACGTAAGCGATTATCGGTAAATGAAAATTTCCAATAATCCGGATAGAAACGAAGTGTTGCTAACGTACAGGCGGCGTGTTGCAGATCCATACCGGAGAGCTCTTGGGTGGAAAGTCCTCTTTTGATGTCGCATTCGGTGGGCTACAGATCGGCGCCGCATCCGCTGGAGCCGGAGCGCAGCGAGAGCGGCCAGGATTCGGATAGCTCCGGCAAGATGAGGGAATCGACGCGGCCGAAGAAGTGCGTCCGGAAGTTGGGCACCGATCTGTTGCGCATGTTTCTGGAGGAAATCGGCCCCGACGTGGTGGTCGACGTCGAGGGGCGCAAGCTGAAGGCGCACAAGTGCATCTTGGCCTCCCGGTGTCAGTACTTCGCGGCCTTGTTGAGCGGGAATTGGTTGGAGAAGAGCGGCAACGTGATTTCTCTGCAGGTAAATGCGCGCGATCCCTTTCTATTTCAAGGGATTCGAAAGTGGGATTGAACAAGCATATGCTTCGCTTTAATTTGGCGCACCTTCGGAATAAAATTTCACTTTTTAACGTGTGCCGTCCCCGTAGATTTATTGTCGGAGAACAATCAATAATTCAACGTTTACGGGCGCATTAAAATACACAGTCGGTGTTAATTTGAATGTTTTCTTCTTATTAGATAGATAAATTATGATGATTATTTATTAAAGCGGCGACCGATTGTGTGCCGAAATGGGTTTAACTAGATTTCTCTTACATCCAATAACCGTATACTAAACTAGACGACTTGGAAAGTCTGTATAAACTTGTAAGAAAAAAAAACTGTCGTAAGTAAGCGCATATTAAATTGCTTGACATACATATCGAGCTTTTTTCCCCAACATTTTCTAATACCGTTTTGATGGTTTATTAATTAGCTGCATTTCGAATTCCGATACTGATTGACTCGACAATACAATAATGTCGATTGTCTCGCTATTCTCACGCGCGCAACGATCTATTTTGCAGGGTTTCTCGTACGAATCGGTGTACTTCGCGCTGTGTCACATCTACAGCGGCGCCGCCCACGTTCCCGATTCGATCAGTTTGGTCGAATTGGCCTCGTTGGCGGACATGCTGGGCCTCGAAGGCCTGAAGGAGGTCGTCGAGCACGCCTTGCAGCAGCGCCACTGCCACAACTTCCACAGGCCTTGCGCCGGCTGTTGCACCGGCATTTTGGAGGTGCTACCCCTATCGGCCGCCTATGGCTTGGACGATCTCTATCAGAGGTGAACAAAAAAAATTGCTTGTCGGCGATGGGGTTATTATTTTAAATCGTTTTGTTTAGATGTCTGCAGTGGATCACTCAGCATTTCGTGAGAGTGTGGCCGAGTAGGGCTTTCGCCAGTTTATCGAGGGAGTTGAGGGAGAAATGCTATCAACAACACGTCGTTCACATGAACGCCGATAAAGTGCTAGAGACTATTCTAAATTGTGATAAGGTATTTTATCTTTCGAGCTCACGCAGCGAGTTCAGATGAATACTAAAATTATCGTTAATTTGTAGATTCTCGCTACGCTTCCGGCGATGCGTTGGTCGGAGCCCGTCAGTCAACTAGTACTCCAGTTAACCGACGCCTGTCATTTGTACCACAGGCAGCATTTCTCTGCCGTTTTGGGCTCCAATTATCTATCATCGTTGGATTCTGGTTTGGGTTTCGGCGTTTGTCAGATCGAAGAGCAAATGCTCTCGGCCGCCAAGAATCTCGGCATCGAACAGGCCTGTCGCAGCTACGCTAGGTAAATTCAACGAAACCCTTTTTACACCAATTTTAACATCCTCTCTTCCTATATCTCTAGATCGATATTAGTATTTTATTGTGATGTAAAATTCTTATTAATTGTGTGCAGGTGTTGCAAAATGCTAGATCAAACTTGGTCGAGACCCTTTGCCGATATGCTGAACAAGGTTAAATTGCAACTGGAACAGTGTCTAGTTAGCCAGGCGGATAGGTTGATAAGGAGTAACGCTTGGTTGAGGCTGGATACATCGTTGAGGTAAGTAGACGCAACTCGCTACATCACTACAATAGTACAGTTAATCGATAAATTAACATTCTAGGACTCGTATAAAAGAATTAACCCCCAGCATGGAGCCGGCCAGTCGCCTTCCGCGCTCCACGAACTACCGCAACAAGAAGCCCGCGATCAACCAAAAACCGTCGGCGAGTTCGTCGGAATCGTCGCGCAACTCCAGTCCGGGCGTGATGAACCAGCACGCTTCGAACGCGACGCCTTCGTTGCGCCGAAGCCTTCTGCTGGCCGCCAAGGCGCCGCAATTGCAGCCGATGTCGGCGTCGAGTCCGGCCGTGAACAGGCGCAGCACGTTGACGCAACCGACGGCCGCCAGCGCCGCCAAATCGACGAGGGCGACGCCGCTGCCGCGCGTCGCCACCATCAAGCCGACGGTGCGCGGCGCGCCGGCCAAGCCGGCGTCGCGGAATTCGAGCGTGGGGAAGAAGGAAGCGCCGGCGAAGCGGCCGGAGGGCAGCCGATCGAGCTCGCCGATGAAGAGCGACAGTCGCGCGTCGTCGTCGCCCAGGAAGGCGGACAGTCGGGTGACGTCGCCGGTGAAGGCGTCGTCGTTGAACGTGAGGAGTCCGTCGCCGATGAAGCAGTCGGTTAGTTCTCCTAGGAGGGTTAAGAGAGGCGTGCAGACGGCGAAGCCGGCGCAGAAGCCGGATCGTAATCCTCCGGCGCCCGTCATGCAAAGGTCTAGTACGTTTTTGAAGGACGAGCCGACGGTGCTGGGTAAGGTTTTGTAATGATGATTGCAATGGTTTTTTTTGACGCTAGTCTTTCCGACATTCCTAGTCTCTCGGAATATGGGAGGTATTTTGTAGTTCGGGTGATTCAGATACCTGTGTTTCGATTATTGATATGTTTTTGATCTCGTTAGGTTTATTTAACGTATTATGTGATATTCATTTGATATTTTATTGGGGATTTTCCTGTAATGATTATGGGACGTGTCGTTTTTATAAATGATAACATTTTTGTATGAAATCAATTGTTGTATTCTTTCGGTTACTAAATTTTTCTCTTTCCATTTAAATCCATTTTGCAATACTTCTTACACTAGTAATATAAAATGAAAAATAAGTATGCCATATTATATTTCAATCCCATGATAAGGCGATTTAAAAATATTATAATTATAGATTATATGAAGACACAGAACTGAAATTATTTATTATTTTTAGTCTAAGATGTACAGGTTGACATGTAAATTTGTTTTAGTGATATGATCTAAAATTACATCGGTTTTATTCTTTAAATTTCTTAATTAGTTTAATAATTTTAAATTCGATTATTGGCTTATGCTAAAAACACCATTTTAGAATACTCTGTATAGGTTTTTTAGGTATATTTTTAATACGTTTTTAATTTAGAAATTTGATCGAAAAAGACATTTAATTCTAAAATGAAATTGTGATTTATATCCTTAATTTTTTTATTTGTGCAATTTTAACATCTGGTTTTTTAACTGGCTTTGTCGTTTTTAACAAAAATTTTGTTACCGTAAAAATAATGAGATGTCCAAAATAAGATGAAATGTAAAAAGTTTAAGTGTAACGATGTCTCATTATTTCTTGTTATACAAGATTTAAAAACAAAATATGCATTAATATTCTTTTAAAGAATTGCTAAATATTGTATTTGTTGTATATTTAAATATTAAATTCAATATTTTTAAATGCTTTTTGTCACTATTACGCCTTTACAGTACATTATGGATGTCGACAAACATTTTCCTCGAAGATGGAAGATAATGAAGATAGATATTAAACTATCTGTAAGGATAATTAATTTATTTTAGAAATAATAGATTACATTAGGCCTATTTTTTTAAGTTTTATAACAATTTATCAAACTTTATATTTTTTGTACCTTACTAATTTAACATTCAACTGCAGTACTTTAGATAAATTTCGCATCCAATTAAAGTAGATGAAATGTGTGCTACTTTGTAGTGGTTTTTCAAATCTGTTACTTTACAGAAGAAATTTTAGAGGAATCATTTTCCTAAAGCAGTCTTATATTCAAATTTTAACCCATAAAAATTTTTAAACGACTTTGTGAAATATAAACAATAATAAAAATTTTAACTTGCAAGTACTATGAAGTACAAACATAAAAGTAAGTAAATATACAATAAACATCACCCAATATCTTCTAAATATAGAGGTGGTTAATATAAAAATTTAATACCACTTTTTTGTTTCGGTTGTAATTCATTAATGCCTTAAAATTATTAACCACCTCATTTATAAAGTACAAAAAAATTGTATAAAAGACGTTACTAGCAAAAGATATAAATACTTTAATAAAATAACAAATGGAATCTCTTCGAAAAGCGCAGAGCCATCAAAGTACGTAGTCTCGCAAAATACAAAACAAATACAAAATCCGGATCAACATTTTATACAACGCTCTGTAAACAAACGGAATTTCCACGCGAGGCTCCGACACCATCGGTTATTGGTGGTTACCAGCCAAGTAAGGACTATTCGTTTCACCGCAATAAGACTGCTCAAACGACGAATCCCCGGCGTTATTTCGAAGGAGATAACCTATTACAAAACCCAGCAACAAAACTAAAAACAACGTTGCGATTTGAATGTACTGAGTCAGCTTCAACGCCCTTCCGACCTCTATTTGCGCGCGTCTAATTTCATCTACCGACGAAGTGATGTTAGCGAAAGCGTTCGGGTCCTGATCAGGCGAATTGGCGTTCATCATATCGCTGGTATTCTTGTATTTAACCGCCTCCCCGGTTTGTATGCACTTCAAACGATGTTGGTACACTTTCCTGCCGCTCGTGTTCTGCAAATCAAACTTTTAACACCTACTCGAAGTCAATTAATTAAGCGACCGACCTTCCACAATTCCGATAAGTCCAACGGTTCCGTTTCCGAGGGCTCCATGGGCGTACTCATGACGAGGAACTTGTCTCTGACTAGACCGCTGATCTGGTACTCGGGCAACAATGTCACGTTGACGGTCATCGACTCCCCGGGCGCCAGCCATCCCGTGCTCGGCTTCACGCGAAACTTTTCGGGCGCTGTGGTTTTAAGCTGCAAACGAAATCCCATCGAAATTCTTCTTAAAATGTATAGAAAACTATGTTAAATACCTTGTAAGAAACTTTGACGGTCGCGTCCGTATTTTGGATTTCCAAACTACTGATGAATTCGTTACCATCTTTAACGAACGTAATAATTCCTGATGGGTTGAATTTGAGGTAACCTCCATCTGTTGAATTAAATGTTATTTGTTTAGTGAGTATCATAGAATTGGGAAATAATGGGGAAGAATGTTTTTAGATTTCAAAGATCTAAACGCAGTAAGGGCGTTGGAATTACTAAGATTCACATTAAGATTAGTGGATCTTTGGTAGAAATAATGACCTAACAACAGCTGGAAAACTACAGAGAATGAAAAAACCTGCCCATAAACGACAACATCATAGAATTGTTATAGGATATGAATGTGATGACATGCTGTATATTCCAAGTTTTCTCTCAATTGATTTATGAATTTACCTTCAAAGGGCTAGGTCAACATATAGAACAGAATGTGTGCCAAGTTTCCAATTTTATTTCCTTATCTGTTCTCGAGCTCGTAAAAGAGGGAAGGTTAAACAAACCCCTTAGAGGGCAGGGGGTTAAATGTGTACATAGAGCGTAAATGCCATGCAATCAATATGAGGGGCTTCTATTTCAACACTTCCATATGGTCACGTTTTAATTGAGAAACAACGGTAATGATTTATCGAATTTAATTATTTTTTTATTAATAATGTATGTAAACAAATATATGAATCAAATATTCCGATAAAATTCAATCAAGAGAACCAAATCGATAAAAGTAGGTGGACAATAGCAATATTACTAAAAGATGACGAGAAATTATCTCAAAAATGTACCCGCAATACGACAATTTGCAAACGAGAAACTCGCCAAGTACATTCCTATAAAATGACTAACAATTACTTCAATCCATTATTGATTAATTATCATAAAATTCGAGAAGGTAAAAATGAACATTAAAATTAAAATTATTGATGGGAAACTTACCAGTTTCTTTATCGCCACCACCGGTCGCCGTTATTTCTGACATGGAGCCATCGACGAAATGAACCTGCCACAAGATTATCGATTAGTGCCGGCGTTTACGCGCCGTTGTAAAACTTATTCCATTTTTCCTGCACTAGATAGAGAGAGGGTGGTAAATCGGGAAATTCGATTCATGCAGTGCGACCAATGGAAAATGCGACGTGAAGTTGTAGCCAAACAGAAAATTTTGGCGGGTTTTTGAAAGATTTATTTAATCTGTTGACCTAAACTCCAACTGGGTGAAGGATAATGGCATCAAAAGCGGTAGTGGAAAAATAACATATAAAATGAACATAGATAAAAAGAATGTAATTATCAATCGAAGAATCGTCAAACACCCGTATAGAGTAATCAATATTGCAGTAGCCTCGTTAAAAGTGCAATAAAAATTCTCGTTTAATCAACACAATTATTTTTATCGGATTGGAAAAACACCGGCATTCCTCTCTCCCTTTTTTCGCCTATCTAAAGTTCATAATAAATGTCATTAATACTTGCTTTTTTGTTGTTTGTGGTGACTTTTTCCTTTTCAGTTTCGGGGGAACTTTCCGGTATGAAACTGAATACAAACGGATTGGAGCCGCCCCAGCTTTTCAGAATGTGCTCGGCCGGCACGAAGTTGCTCAAATCTTTCTTTGAGACGAATTTGATTTTCTCCACGGCCTTTTCGGGCAGCCAACTTTTCACGACTTTAAAGGCAGCTGTTCGAAATTAAATAACAGTGAGGATACTTATTGAGATGCACTTATTAATAGATTCTTACCAGTTAGTATCCAAGGCATTTCGAATATCAGTATATAGTTCAAAAAATATGGATAATATTCTTTAAAAAGACCTATAAGATATTTTATCACTTCCATGTCCATGTTACTTAGACCACAGCCTTCCATATCAAAAAATATGGTAATTCTTTCACCTTTAGTTAATCTGAAAAAAGTAATCTTATTCAGCATTGTTTGTTGGTTTTTTTTATTTAAAATTTGTGTAAATAGGTGTATGATGTAATCCAATTTATTCCATTTAATATTTTATTTTGGGTACTTTTAAAAAGAGATAAATTTACCTTTCTATTCTTTCAAACCAATAAATAATACACCTTTTTAATACATCTATATCTACAGCACCTTTTGTGTGTTTGTTGCATTTGAATACAAACAATTTGCAGTTGTCGATATCTGCACCGTGTATGAAAAATCCTCCGGAACATAAAAGGTCCATTTTAACATTATTTTCGTTGATTTCTAAAATGAATTCATAATGATCATTGGATTTTATTTTGAATGTCGTTAATTTACCATTAACGTTTAGCTCTTTCCTCCAAGTGACTGATGTCCATATCATGTTAAGGGCATTTTCTTTGTTACCTTCTTGGTGAAGGAGAAACCTTTTCAACCAAAAATCATTGGTTCTAATTCTTTCCAAATCCTTCGGATGGACACCTTTAAATAACAAGATAAATGATTATTACAAAAAGGAATTACTTGCAATTTTAATTGCATTTTAATTGCAAGTAATTGGAAGTTGCTAAAAATTATTCAAATACTTATTAATTTATATGCTTAATGATAAGTATTTTATCTAATAATTCTTATCAATTCATAATTACTTACTCTAAATTTATTGTATTTGAGATATAGTCATTTTAACCTTTAGAATTGATTTGGAAAATTGATTAAAACCACATTATCATCTTTTAATCAAAAAAATTTAGTTTTTTTATTATATAAAAAACAACCTTTAACCTTTACATGTAAGAATAAATTAAATTGATATTATTATACAGTTTCATTACCACATTAATTAATATAATTAAATTAACAATAAAAAATGTTTTACTCACTATCAATCGGTTTGGATGAATAATCGTTTAGGAAGGACTTTCTCAAATCATCGATATCATCTTGATTTACCTCTGGTGTCAGTGTTTTAACCATTTTAAATCAATAATGTGCGATAAAAATAATTTTGTAGAATTAACACACTAACTCAGTACGATGAAATTAACAAATCAAATCAACACAACACTTCAAAATGATAAAAATTATAAAAACAAGTTTCTAAACGACAAACGAAATAAATTTTGACAGTGACATTAGTGCATTAGTGACAGTGGACAGTGGCAGTTATCATTGCTGACAACTTCTCTAATATTGCTTATTGGTATTGGTAATGCTGGTTGTCAGAACCGATGTGACAACGTTGCCTTTTATATAATCATTTTATAATTCTTGCAAGTTCTTTTGAGGAATTTTAAGAAAAACTTAAATATTCAGAAAAATGTCAGCTTGGAGAGCCGCCGGTTTAAAGTAAGTATTATTTTACATTAGCTGCATGCTTCAAAAAGTATATTGATTCACAATTTAGAGGTTATGATTCCTCTATGTATTTCTAATAATCTCTTTAGAATCCTTAATTTACCTAAGTTTTCTAAAGACAAACTGTAAATATTAATAGATTTACTCGTTTGTGGTGTACTAAACGTAACAAGCGATCTATTAAGAGTATTCGTACTACAATAATGGTTACCTAAGAAATTACCCGTTACATTTAACTAAATAATAATCCTGAATATTCTGTTTGCAGCTACATCAACTACTCTAACATCGCTGCTAAATTGCTGAGGCAAGCAGTGAAATCTGACATAAGAGCAGATGCCATGAAGAGGAGCGATGCCCACCTCAAAGTAACAAAATGGCAAGATGGAAAGCCGATAAGTGAGTAACATTTATTTTTATAATTACCCGTTCATTTTCGATATATTATATTTTCTATACCACTTCTCAATGATATGATACGTTACAGGTGCGAGAGAATAAGCTTTGGTAAGATGTTTGTGTGATACGAGTGAAAATAATACCGATTGTATTTTGATTGTTTTTTGATTAATCTTTTTTTTTTGAAAATTTTAACTCGATGAAATTTCTAATACGTTTTGATTTATTTGCAGAAGAGTCGACATTCTAAGAAGGAATAGAGTTAAGATGAAAATATTTGTTATTTAGTAGATTATTTGTTTGTCATACATCTGAATGTACTTTGAATGAGTTTATAGGATACACATTTAGTAAAAGAGGAAAGTAAATAAACATTAAAAATGTAACAAATTTATTATTGAACCCTAAATACCTATTAGAGAGAATATTTCGAATAAAATTTAAAAACTGTAAATAGCATGTCTAAAATACCTCCAAGAAACTATTAGAAAATTTAACCAGAAATATCCTTATTTGGGAATCCCTTCTTGTGTGAGCAAGTGGTCTTTTTCATCTGTTAAAACTTTCGGGCCATCTCCCAATTTAGTATAAATAATATATTTGAGTGCGCCTTCTTTGTGTACTTTGAATTCAAATTTCCTTGATAATTCCTATTAAAGAAATATAAATTTATAGACCAAACAGAAGTAAAGTGTTTGCAAAACTCACTTCTTGTATAGGCAATTGCTTAACTTTACTCCCTTTGATATATTCGTCCTGAATAGACCCACTACGAGGCGGAAATACGTAATTTATTACAGAAAGAAATTCCTCCACTTCCGATTCGAGCAAGTATAAACATGCATTCGGACCAGCATCGAATGTATAAGAAACCTAAAAACAAATTATTACTTTGTTTCACTAGCTTGTTTAAACCTGTTTTTACCTTATTAGAAGATTTCAACTGATTATAAGTATGAACAACATCAACTATAGCATGTGAAATATCGTTCATATAAACGCAAGGCGGGAAGGTATCCAAACACATAGCATGAAAACTGTTGGAATCCTCCATGGTGATCCTAGCGAATGCTTCGAAATCCTTATCAGCAATGGCTCGTTTCATTCTCTCCACTTGTTTAGGTACTATTTCCTTAGCTCTGTATGGAAGAAGTTGCGACGTTTCAACTGATGTTTTCATACCTGATGTAGAACTGTATTTCTTCGTTTCATTGCTCACCACTAGGATGATAACTCTCATTTCGGGCCAATGAGAAGCAGGCGCTAATTGTACGGCTAGGGAATCTTCTCCTGTAGGGCTCTCTCCTTTAACCCATTGTACCTGCAATAAACACCATAATTATTTAAAATCTAAACGTTATGTACGACTTACCCATCCTCCATAAACGCTTCTGCAAGCACTGCCGGAACCTCTTCTTGCGATACTGGAAATATCACCATCGATTTCGTAAAGTTGCGCTAAAGCAGACACTAAACAAGCATATCCTGCAGCTGAAGAAGCTAGACCAGCTGCAGTTGGGAAATTGTTCTCTGAGCAAATTGAAAGTTTCCAGTTGAGAATCGGACAAGAGGGTTTCGCTCGTCTTTTTACTACAACAATTTGTATTTAAATAATACAAAGGATGTGAAAGGTAAATTAACTAACCCTCTTTTAAGCAGTTGTTAAGTCTCGGGTTGTCAAAATCTTGCGGTTTCCCATTCAACCAAAATCGATTTTCTTGGAACAGTGGACTAGCTTGAATCGTAGTTTTAGCGCACATCTAAAATATTATAATTAAACATTATACCGAATTATTTGCCAGTTTTCTTACATGATCTGTACTTAAAGTGCCACTAATCGAATCGTTTATAGGTAAAATTAATTCTTCGTCGCGTTTGCCCCCTACAGAGGTAAAAAAAAGGAAGTTTTAGTCGTGAAATATTGCAAATTTTGAAAAACTTACAGTATTTTATAACGGCTATATTCACGGGAGCTACCACTGTAACCACCTTCATTTTTACACAAGCCTGGAAAAAAAACAGATATGTAAACTAAAAAACAGCTTTATAATAGTTTAAAGAATTAACATTTTAATTGGTATTTATGTACTTAATAAGCAGTGCAAAAAGTTTAAACCTTGTAATGATTTTCTCATTAATTGCTGCTTGTTTGAATTAGCTTTTGTAACCAATTATGTATAACAATTTTGAAGTTTTCTAACTGGCTAGGTCATTTTTGCACTTAACGACTAATACTGTATATATTTTAATTTCAACAAAAAGGAAGTAATAATTCATTTTAAACAATAAAAATTAATTACCTTTAAAAATTTGATTGTTAACAAGGCAGTTTTAACTAGAGTTTTTCACGTAAAGCATGTGAAGTTAAAGGTTTAAGGAATGCATTGTTGTATTCACAGAAAGATCTTATTTTTAACTAATTCTCTATCCTAATTTACATGTGAATAAGCAAAACGTGGACTGGCCTGTGTACTTACTGAATAGATAGTGGGATAAATATGTAGAAAGAAAGTAAAGTAGAAAGTTTAACATACTTACAATGTTCGTTGCACTTTAATTAGCTTGTATATCGATTTGTATTTTTAGAGGTAATGAGTTGCATTTTACTACTGTAGCATCATGTCTTCGATAAATTACAATATATTGAAACATAAATAGGAAAACTTAGGCCGTTCTTCAGTAATTTGAATAATTTTCAAATATATTTAGGTTATGTTGTTTATTTACCTGTCAAGTGTCAATGTCACATCACTGTTACAAATTGCTGTATAATTGAATAGTAAAAGGACAATTTTAAACAAATATCTTGGCGCAAGTTTTTAAAATTTTTCAACTTCCAAAAAACTCTAAATTGATATTGTTTTAATAAGATCTTAAGGGTTGAGAAATAACAATGAAACAATTTTTGTCTAATTTATTTCTACTATATGTCATATTTTGTACAATGAAATTTAATTTAATGTTACAAAACGCAATAAATATATTATCACTCACATTTAAAAATTCAGTAACAATAGTGTTAGAAACAAACAACTGCGTCGTTTTTATTAATTATGTAAATTTGCTAAAGACAACAAGAACAGCCTACTGCAATGCAAGACACAGCTTCATCATTATTGCGATACAATGATTGTAATTATCACAGAAGGTTGTGGGAACAGAGAATTTCGCTTTTTTTGCTGTTGATAACAAAAATATTCTTTTCTCAAATATAAAAATGCCAAATTTCCACTATCATTAACAGATTGATGGTATACTTATAAGAATAGATTTGTTTTTTTTAATTTGGTGATTCAAAGAAGAGCAGTGGATGAAAAACAAGGAAGATAATAAATAATTGATTATGTTTAAATGATTTTTATAATGAAAATTCGGCATTCTATTTTAAGATTCTTTAACAAAAATTAAAGAGAATTAAGGCTAAATTGTTCAAATTCATAAGTAAGTATCCGCGTTCTAGTCAAAAGTTAGGTAATATATTTATTGGATATCTTTATTAGGTTAATTTATACATCAATGTCGAAATGAAAGCCTTCCAAAGAGAATAATTGATTTAGTACATTAAACAGAAGAGCAAAATGTAATTTATTTCTCCTATTCAGTTAATTACGGGCTAGCAGAAAATCGATGAAATTAATAATTATTAACATTATTCTTATATATTATTATAAATATTTTATGAACTCTTGACTAGAATTTATAAACAACAATATTAACTATAACAATGAGGTAAAACATAACAACTTTCCAAAATATAAATCCAAATATCATAAAATTAATAATATCTTTAAAAGCAGCGAACACATTCATAACAATAACGGTTTTCTGTGCAATGTATTCTTCCTTAACACTAATTTTTAAAATTAGATAACAACTACTTCTAATCCTCATCTTATTAACATTATTAAGTTAAATTTCAAGATAGAATATAGAATAGCGTTAGGTAAAACTTACTTCGTAGTTCGTTAGAATAGGATGCAATTATTTGTTAAATAGAAAACGAAATGAGATAGATATGGGAAAATATTTGAAAAAAGTCGTGTGCGTAGACGTATCTATAACAATCTTAAATCTAAATTTTTGCAACAGGTATTGTCATACCGTAATATTTATTAATTAGGTAGGTAAAATCGATGCAATTATTTTATTGCGCGGGCTTTTATAACGCTGGTGTATGATTTTTTTCTTCAAAAAGGTGAATAAATTCGAGTAAAGTGGGATAATAAAGAACTGAGAAAGAATAAAAGAAGTTCGTAAATTTTTTAATGACCTTAGTTTTAAGACCCTTAATTGAGTTCTTAAATAAAACTTATCTAGATTTGAATATATTAAAACGCGCGTTAAAATAGTTATCGTCGTTAAAAAGTTGAGGAAAAATCCCTCAGATTGTCTTGAAGACAATTTTCTTAGCAAACTTAAATTTCAATTAAAATTTCATTTACGTAAAAATTGGAATGTTTTTTTTAATCAACAAGAATATTTTATGATACGTATATGTTGTACTGTAATTACTTTAGAGAGCAATTCAAAATAACTATCTAAAAAATATACAAACATATCTTTGTGTATAAAAATTCGAATGGAATTTTCATTTTATAAGCGCTTAAAAATAGGAAAATTATTATTTGCTCGAAATACTCCTGGACAGATTTTTATATCAATAACGTGTATATACAAGTTTTTTTTATATAAAACTTTGATGCACTGAAAATTGACAATTATGAAGTCCAAATTTCAGTTCATTTGATGAGCCGAGATAATTTAACAATTTCGAATTTACATTCGTTTGGCATGATTTACCAAATATATAGTCAATTCGATATAACTTGTCTCTTACGTCACGAGACACTGCAAGATACACAAATCAACTATATATAAGTAAATTTAACTACGTATAAAACGTATTTATCTGGGCTCAAACTATTCTTAAACCTTAAACCTACTGTTCTATACCTTTATTATTTTATCACTACATTGGCGAAGAGAAGCACAAACAATTATCAGATTGATTGCCAAATGGTGTTTTCACGTCATAGAAGAATAGTATAAGAAGCTAAAATTTACAAAGTTCATTAGTATTATAGATAATATATATTTAGTTCTTACATATCTTTGAAAATTGACATTAGAATCGATTTGACTCGATGAAATTTTAAATATACAGTGCTTCTTACCCCATCGAAAACGCATTCGAGTCTTCAAATTAAGTAGATACACCGTATACACAAGCGAATAAGTATAAGTTACCAAATAATAATCTGTGTAACGTCATTAATGACGTGTACAACTCGTTATTATGCGCTAACTATACGAAGTTTATAAGGAAGAAAAGTTGTAGAAAAAGTTTAACTATATTCCTCTAATGAACAGTATAATATCTATGCACATAATTTATGGGTCACTCGAGCAGATTAATAAGTTCAGTTTAATTGGACGATGTCATGCAATAATGGGTCAAGTTTGTAGAACTTGGAGAAATATTCTAACAAGTTATAATAGAGTAATATCGAAACGGTACTTTCTGATATAATTTTTAGTTCGTGGGATGTTTTACTGTTTATTAGAAGAAAACAAAACCTAGCTATTCTAAGGTCTTATTTGGCAAAATTTCCATGAGAACCAACGTTTTCTTGGTAAAATGAAATTAAAAATACAGAGGAATAAAAATACGCTCAGTTCAATCAGAATTGTGAAAATACAAAAAAAAATGATCTCATCAATAACAACTAAAAAACCTCTCATAGAACAAATTATAAATGAATCCTAAACAACCAAACATTTTCCTGATGATGTTTACTTTACCGCCTTGACCGTTGATGTTTCACCAGTCACTTAGACAATTGACTTATCAACTGCCACTCGTAGAGGACTCTCCGTTCGCCTGTCATATTTTATCCGGAGGCGTCGCCCTGTCTTGCATCATATGCTATTCGCTGCCCAACGTCAGCGCCTGCACTATCCTGGGATCGGCCTTGCTGCCCTCCCGGAACTCCTCGAGCGTCAGCCGATCGTCGTGGTTCTTGTCCATTTGATCGAAAATTTTATCCACTCGCTTTTGGGGCGTATTCTCGTCCTCCGATGGTTGCTGTCCCTGCACATCAAAGCTCACCCATTTAAATTTTAATGTAATCGGAGGGTGATTATACATACCACCATTTGATAAATAGCGTCGACGATATTGTACATTTCATCCCTCGTTATGAACCCGTCGTTGTCCACATCGTACAATCTGAATGCCCCTGTAAGGAAATTTTATTAGCGACAATTTGCAAACATCCTTTTATAGGGCGGCGAATATCCTAAAATTGACTCTCTGCCCGGTTTTTGTGTCGTGTGCGAATTTCTCTTTATGATATAGCAAGATTCGTATCTCCCGAGACGTCTGCTGAAAGTTTCCCGTTCTCCATTCAACGCGAGACGGTTTTCCTGGAGGCTTTCTTTAAAATACAGCTCGCATCTAAGCTAATGTACACATCTCTTTTTAATATCCTTCGGGGAAGTGCGGAATGCTCTATTCAAACAGGTAGAAGTTCGCTTGGAATTTGAATTGAATTCGAAATTCGAAAAGAATGAGGGTAAGCTTTGAATCGTTTTCAGATTGATGTGCGACCTAACTGTAATAATGGGAATGTTATAAACTTTTATCGCCCCATAAATGAAACGCTTTAACAATACTGACGGTATTAAAACCGTTATGTGTGCAACTACTGCTATTCCTGAAATGCAATAAATTAATAGTGCAGTATATTCGGGCTAATCCAAACGGTGTACGCCACTGCGAACGAGCTACCCACCATTAAAATTAATTGCAGGCCGGCCATTTTGTCTCTTTACGCCGCTATTCCAAAGTAAAAACCGCTGTTAATTTTCCTGCTTCCCAACACAAAGGGGAAAAAATGCACCAGCGCTATACTCTGACGAGGGTAATAAAACTAACAGACTCTCCTCTCGAGGATTGGAATAACAAAAACCCGGATCATAAATTTTCCGGATTTCTGGATTTGTTGGTTTAATTTGCGTTTCGATTTCATTAAACCTTTCATCAATTCATTTGCAAGGTTCGTTATTTTTAAAGCATTCCAATTTGATTATTAAATTCCACAATTCCTCCCTACGATTTCACAACCACATTAATGTGAACTTACTGTAGCAGTGTATGTGATGTAAGGGAGTTTAATAAGCACTTCAAATTCACCACATTGAATTATCACCTGCATAACCAATGGTTGAATAATGCACATACTGTTCCCATCCGTTGAATTCGAATGGTTAACAAGCCAAATAGCCGATAAACTCCCATCACAGCACCGCCCTCGCTTTCACCAGGTGTTAATTACCTCCGTTGCGGAGTTTAGGCGACGGTGTGAGGGGTGTATGGGGACCGAACAGCGCTGAAAGTGCCACCTGCAGACCGCCAGGGGCTTAATTAATTCAGATTCGACTGCTGAGTTCCGCGGAAGAGCTTGGAGAACGCGACATTTCGGTAATTTATGGTTAAGGTAGGTAAATGATTCGGGAATAGTTTCCTTTATACGATGCTATCGGCGGTGGAAGATAGTTTGCGCTTGCCGGTGATTTGATTGGAAAACTTGTTGGAGGGTAACGAGTTGGAAATGAAGAAACAAAGTTGGTAGGGTTGGTTGGTATGTAAAAAAACAGTTGGTAGCGACGAAATGACAATTGACACGGCGGTTTTCCAGATAGCTGCGATAGCGATATCTCCCACTTCAATAGTGATCATGAAAACGTCATTGTAGAAAAAGTGGCATTTTCCAGGCGTTGAACCACATCGAACGAAAAATTTAGAAACACAATTACAAATAAATATGGAGTTTACGATGCGACTGAGAAAGATCCCCTCGCGGACGAAAACTGACGAAATTTTAGCAACCAGTAACAAAAGTTCGAAGAAACGGAAAAAAAATTCAAGTTTTGTATGTCGAAGATGCTGCAGCGCATTCCAGGTGGGTTTCACTGTAGACAAACAAAAAAAACTTAAAAAAAATCATTTCTTACCCCTAACAAAAATCTCGTGCAAACAAAAACAAGCTTTGCCAATTGGAAATGTTTACACAAAACCCACAAATTATTTTTCCGCATCTCATTGGTGCGAATTTTTTGTTATGACATTTACGTCAATTTACTGTTCAGTTCGCACGCAATCCAACACATCCATTCATTACAATACTGAGCAAAGGGGTTTCCAGATAATATTGCTATGATAGAGATTATAGCATCACAACAAGCACACAAATCAATACAAAAGGATTGCTCGTACATCCGTACAAACCTCAAGCTACCATAACACCTCTTGAAACCTCATACATACCCAACCAAGCACACCTTTATCATCTACCACATCATCATTCCACACAAAACATTCTTCTTTAATTTGGCTCTTATACCCTGTTACCATCATATGGAATAATGCTACTGGATACCGTGCTCGTTTGTTAAATCGAGTAATTAATCTCCAGATGAGCGTTTTCGATTTCCCGCCCGTTTGGTCCGAATTGCGCAAGAAATCCCAGCTGTGCGACGGCTTGGTCAGGTGCGAAGATGGCACCGAGTTCAAGATACACAGGGCCATCCTGGCGGCCGTCAGTCCGTACTTTAAGGCCTTATTCACCAATTCTATCAATAGAGATCAAAAGGAGGCGAACGAAGCCAGGATCAGCATACCGGCGGATATATTCCAAACGCTACTAGGTGAGTGAGGAAATGGGATAATAGCCATTGTGGGTCGTTGAACAATCGCTAGAGGAGCTTTGTGCTTTCGGATTCGATGGGGGACGATGTTTAATTCTCTCTATTGCAGATTACGCGTATACAGGGTCGTGCGGCGTAACGAAAACTAACGTCAAAGATTTATTGAAATACGCCGATCAATATCAAATATTGGACGTTGTACAGCTTTGCTGTAATTTCCTCATGACCGAACTGAGCCCGGCCAATTGTTTAGAGATACTGAAATTCGCCAGCCAGTATTTTTGCAAAGAGCTAATCGATAAGGGAAAGCTGTACATCAGGCATAATTTTTCTAGGTGAGCTAAAAACGTTCTAAATTAGAGGAATGTCGCCTTATTGATTAGAAAAATTTAATTGTAGATTGTTAAAAGACAGTTACGAGTTTTACAACATCCCTGCTCATCATTTGGAAGAAATTTTACAAGACGACGAATTAAATATAAAAAGCGAAGAGACCGTATTGGACGCCGTAAAAATATGGATATCGTATTCCCCGGTTAAAAGAAAAATCCATTTGTTCAATCTCATTAAATGCATTAGGTAACCCATTTACATTCGTCATGCATCCATTTCCTTTCTACTATACTTTCTACATTTTTCCCAACTCACATTTGTATCGATTTTAGATTGGGTACGTTGACATACGACAGCGTGGCCGAGATATCCAAATGGCCGTTGATAATAGAAAATCCCGAATGCAAGGAGTATCTGCAGGACGTGCTCGCCGTGTTGGGCGGGTTAAATCAAGACGACGACGTCGATATAGTGCACGATTACATGTTCAGGCCTCGGATACCGTTCTCGGTTGTATTCGCGATAGGAGGATGGAGCGCTGGCAGCCCAACCAATTTCATGGAAACCTACGACAGCAGGGCCGATAAATGGTTGTTTAGCTGCGACACGGACTCCTCGCCGAGGGCCTACCACGGGCTGTGCAACTTGAACGGAATCATTTACATGATAGGTAACTCTTGCAATTTGCCGGTTCGATGGGGACGCTAACCGGACGGTTCGCAGGAGGTTTCGACGGGAACGAGTACTTTAACACGATGAAGTGCTTCGATCCGGTGCAGCACAAGTGGAGCGAACGATCCTGCATGTACTATCCGAGGTGCTACGTTAGCGTGGTGGTGCACCGAGGGAAGATATACGCGATGGGCGGCTACAACGGCAGGACGCGGATGAATTCCGCCGAGAAATATGATCCGGAGAGGAACCAATGGGAACTTATACCGTCTATGCAGAAGCAAAGGTCCGACGCCAGCGCTGCTACCGTTCAGGACAAGATTTATATAGTTGGAGGTTAGTGAATATTTGTTTGCATATCTTCGCTTATGATGGTGTATTTAACAGGTTTCAACGGACAAGAAGTGATGAATTCAACGGAAGTGTACGACACGACTACGAGACAATGGTCGTTTATATCGCAAATGACTTCGGCCCGATCGGGAGTGTCTTTGGTTTCCTTCAATAACACTTTGTACGCCATCGGCGGTTTCAATGGGTACACGCGGCTGGCCAGCGGCGAGAAATACACGCCCGACGTTTCGGACGGCTGGTCGCCCATCGCCGATATGCTAACGCCGAGAAGCAACTTCGCGACCGTCCTCTTGGACGATTACATATTCGTGATTGGAGGATTCAATGACAGATTTGTGTCAGGTTAGTAAGAGGTACGTTTGTTTGTTGGCGTATGGCTCGCACATCGGCGATACGCCCACGGAAAATTAATATTTTTTGGGTTCGTTGGAAAGGTTCGACGACGATCAACTACGTGGAGTACTACGACGCCGAGTCGAACGAATGGTACGACGCGGCTTCGATGAACGTGAGCCGGTCGGCGTTGAGCGCGTGCGTGGTGCACGGATTGCCCAACGTGAAGGAGTACACCTTTCTGCGGACGGGCATCTCCTCGTTGGGACCGGAGGCGGACGGCGGGAACAAGGGGTGAATAGCGGCTAATACGTGTGTCATTCATTTCAACTTCGATTTGTGTGTGTATGTGTGTGTGGTCTACGCCTTTTTATCTATACACGTTTTTTACTGGTTTATTTCGTGCTGAAGAATTTTTGTCATTGTTGACAATAAAGTAATTTGAAGTTGGGTGTGATGGGTTGTTTCATTTCTGTCGTTTACTTAATACTAAAGTGTTTACTGATAGTAAGTTGTGTTTGGTGATTTAAAAAAAATAGATGGAAGGAAAATATTTATTGCACTAAAATCTACAGCTACTATTTTGCCGGACATCAATTTCATGAACTAGTTAAATCGAGAGATTTACAGAAAATCCATAACCAGATCATAAATTGTTGTTCTTTTTAAAGAAAGTTCTTTCAAGATCATGAAAAATTATGGTTCTCCTCAACCTTCACTTCAACTGAACTGTAGTTGAAAACCAAAAGCTTATACCCGTCATGAAAAATTTATGGAACTGTATAGAAATATAGAGTAGTAGATTTTTATGCAATAAATATTTTTCCTATATTTGTACACAATTTTCTTTAATTACCAAACGTAACAAACTTTCTGGACACACCTGGTATCATTTTTTTAAGCCCAGAGAACACTCAAATTAGAATTTTAGCGCCGTTTTTATCCTTCACGTGATTTTTTTTGCCTTCGGGGAAACACAAGCTTTAAAGGAAAAACCTAATGGATAAAAGAGCGGCCGATGAGGAAAGCGACCATAAATATAAATATTAATACGTTTTTAAAAGGAGTTGTGCAACTTCTTTTGATAATCTCAAATGAAAAATTACATTTGAGAGTGGAGGGTCTCGATAATTTCCTACCGACTTATCGCCGAAAGCCAAATACATAACCATTAATTCTCCTAAATCTTGACACTGAAGTGGTAGAAATATTCCCTTAATAGCCAAAAAGAAACGCAACGTACATACAGGGTGTAAAAAACTCATGACCCTAATCACGAAAAATAAAATTTGTTCCTACTATAAAAGAATAATGTGTTGATAATGCATGAAGTAATTAGAGTTGGATATTCTACGGAAAGATTGGAAATTAGGACAAAACTCAAAACTTTTCCAACTCGAAGGTTAAAGCAACTAAAGTTAGAGCCAATTAAAAAAACGCTCCCATTTGTGTAACCCTTTTTTTTCGTTTCGGTTTGTGAAAGGCGAATTCCCGCTATTTAAAACTATCACAAAAGGACCCAAGTAATTAAAAAAATACTTACATTGCAATTTCTCGTCGAGGTTTCCCCGACTCGTCACGGATAACGCTCTAATGAACTCTTCGAATTCGATGGAGCCGTCCTGAAACACGAAAATCCTTGTTCATTTTAAAGGAATAATTTCCGCATTGGAAACGAGCATTTCATAATTGGTACGCCTACTAAATTTGCATCCAGAAAATCGCGTTTGTCAAAAAAATCGACTCTAATTATTCGCCTAATTTGAAATTCACATCATTTGCAATTCGAACGGGGAATATCGAATACATATTTAGCGAACGTAACGAAATCCAGTGGATACGGCGAATCCAGAAAACGCTGGCGCAGCCAGAGATCAATCAGTCGTCCAGATTGCGCTGTGTTTTCAATTAAAAGTCAATTCGCGCGCGATATTTTCCAATTTTTCGGATCGTTTCCGATCGAGATCAAAGGCGCAGGGGGAAATTTGTCATTTCCCCGCCGATAAATCCCGCTGATTTTCGCCGTTTTTTTCTCTCGCGGAATTGGAGCCCAACGAATCGGAAGATTCGTACCTGCCTGTAGGATAAATCGAGCGATTAAAATTTTTTTGTTAATAAATAAGGCTAATTTGTAACAATGCAAACGTTTTCCTAGACATTTTGCCGATCGATTTAGCGCTCTTTTTATGCTTCTCATGAAAAATAAATATGTTCTTATCGATCCTCCGTGGCGACGTTCCGTATACAGGGTTCATGAATATTTATTATTATAGAGAATATAAATTTCCGTATCGAGTTTCGTTATTGGAAAATTCGGCAGTATTTTTCAGATGAAAATGTGCATCTACACACAACACACTCCTATTTCACCGGGGCAATATGCATGGTAATTTCCGACGTGCCACCCTTTTATTCACAATTTATTATTTATACAGTGTACATGTACAACTCTATACCCTACAGTTTACAAGGCCGCCTGACGATTATTTTTTAAATCGATGACTTGTTGATTTACGAGGGTAGTTTAATCCTCCACAATACAATTTCGTACTAAAGAGAGTCGATTAAAAACGGGGCCGGAAATTTAATCACCCCTTAATTAGCGAATTAATGATACTTACGTTATTTTCATCGAACACCCTAAAAACGAGCGAGGCGAATTTAGAAGGGTCGCCCTGCGGGAAGAATTGCTTGTAAATTTTTATGAACCCCTGTAACAAAATACGTAAAGTAAATTTCGATAAAATCTCCATTAAACAAGCGAAAGGTAATGGAAAAACTAACAAAAAACGAAACTCACCTGTTCGGTGAGGAGCCCGTTGGGGCAATCCTTCAAGAATCCTTTGTGCCTGCAACAAAAACGAATCGTTGATTCTCTTTCCTCCGGCGGAATTTTCGCGAAAACGAAACGAGAAAACGCTTTCAATCGTTCTGATTTAGTTTTAGGGGAGAAATCGCGCGTTTGTTCCTGAAAGTTTCCCTGATGATGGACACACTAACCAAAACAATTAAAAAACACTAAACAAACAATCTAGTATTTGCCAAAAACAACCGAAAAAATTACAATGTGGCAACGTAGCTTGTGACATCATAGCCACGTTAGCGTGAATGTATTATACTCGGATAATGTTATCAAAGAAACGAATGATAAGATCTTATTTTTATATTCTCGCATTATTCTTAAGACCTAATCAACGTTTCGTTTTTCAGCTCGGTATATCACGTTGAATTTTCCAACAAAAGAAAATTCAATAATGAGATATATTTATAAACGCCGTCTAGTCACGCAATATCCTGTTGCTAAAATAGCTTTCCATTAGATTGAAAAATACACGTACTAACCCTATATTCTTTTACCTTTCGGTAATTGACTGTGATTTTTAACAGGAAAACCGCTTTGTGCGGATATCTTTTTAATACCTTTGATGTTACGACCTAATGAAAAATAAATAATGAATTATGCATTTGAGCTAAGTGATTTTCGTAGTTTCATTACGCGAATTCAAATCGGTATAATCAATTTAATGAAATTGTTAAAATAAACAGTGGTAATTGAAATTTAAAAATGTATGTTTGAATTTCATCAGTCATTCAATATGTAAATTAAAACCCTACCGAAGAAAAATGACCGAAATAAAACCGAAATATAAAAGTTAAGAAAAACTGTCAAAAAAGAACTTTATAATTCACCCCATTAATCATTTTACAACGATGAAACTTTTTAAAACGACTGTCGTTGTCGTAAATGAAAATATCCGTAAAGAAAAACGCGGATATATCCTTGTTCCCCCGTGAAAAGGGATTTACATTTAATATCTGTTTATATCAACTTTCTTGTTTTATTTACTTTTATTTTCGCTCAGAAAGTTATTGACGTAATGGATGTTTTGTCAATAGTATTATCGGGCCGATCTTCGACTTTATTTTACCTCGAATGTAGATACTTACGTGGAGCGGATAATATAAAAGCATCAGATAAAATATTTATTAGATAGAAATCCAGATATCCCGAGTCGGTAGACATAGTATTTGAATGTGAATATTTGAAATAGTAAGTATAGTATGGTGGAAAAGAGATGGTGGGGTCTCTCCTGTATTTTGTGGCCCTAATAATGGCTCAGTCTTGAATAAATAGTCAGTCATCAATAGAATATTTTCCCTGGTTTGTTATTAAAGTAATGTATACTTACCATTGCCGTATTTCTTTTTCTGTAACTGAAACAAAATAACCGTAATAAGTAATTTGAAATACTAGGTAAACAAAGTATTTTTGTTTTAAACGTTATACATGCGGGTAATTAGTGTACGAAAATTATACGGAATAGGGTGTTCGAGCTAGAACGCTTAACTTTGAAATGTTAAATAATAAATACATTTTAACAAGTATTTAATTAACTTGCCCTTCAAGACACTTTATATTGTACCTTCGCAAATTTATGCAAACCAAATTTATTCTTGTTTCAACCCTCAACCTCTTCTACAAACACTCAGAGCATTAAACAAACAACTAAAAGATTTACCCTCATTTCAGCATACTAATTTTCAATTTAAACAACGATACATCTCACGACTTATTTTATTACAAATCAAGCCAAAATTCGTTCGCTCTTCAAAACTTCAAAACCACCATTCTTCCTTCGCCACAATTTTCACTGGGTCCCCTCGCTTTCTGCATTCTCCGCCGGATCTTCTTCTAATTCCTCGTCCTCTTCTTCATCATCATCATCATCATCAGCAGCATTATTAGCTACTCCTTGCCAATTGGCGGCGTCGTTCACGGGCGTCGCGTCGGCGGACATCCCAAAAAAGTCTCCACCGTATTTGCCCAACCAAGTGCCCGTCATTATACCAGCACACAACGTGCCGAGATCTACCAGGAATTTAGACATCAGGAATTTCCTGCAAATTTGCTAATTTTTTCACGCTGTTTGACTCCCGTCAGTTTCGACAAGTGGCTGAATAGCATCGCTGCTACAGGCATGAATCTCGCAAATGTAAATAATTCACACAGTACCCCTACAGGCGCCTAATTAGCTTAATTACTCAATCGATTAGCACCCGAAAACGAGCTGGCAGGTACGGGGGCATCCCCCGTCTCCGATCCCCGGCCGATCGACGGAAAACCACCGTTCGCGTTCGGGCCAAACAAGACGGAACGGCGGATAATCCGGGAAGACTCCGGAGGCGCCAGGCGTCGCGGCGCCTCGCCAGACGCTGCGACAAACATCCCTTGACCCATCGCCGGGAGGACTGCTCGAAAAACGAACAGGTTACCTCGGGATGTTCGACGACTGCAGGAGAATAGTGAAAGGGGAGGCGGTTCAAGGTCCGTCGGGGGATGCGGAGGGAAGGGCGAGAGGTGGTTCTCGGGGGTGGCGTGTTTTAAATAGATCAGCGGAAGTGTGGCAGTCGACGCCTTTTTTTAAATGGTCTTTTGTATCCTGTACATTTCTGGGTTTTCTTTGAAATGGGTATTTGTGAATAATAATTTGCAAAATAGTATAAATTTGTTACTTATTATCTAAGTAGGTAGTTGTCAAATGTCAAAAGAAGACAGTTCATTTAATTGTTGCAGTTGTCATTTGAAAGTTATGTAAACAATTACTTAAAAAAAACACTAGTACTCTCAATAATAATATTAAAATAACAACAGAATTAATTTTTCTACAACCTACAGCATCTAGCATCCCATAGTAAATACATGTTTCTAAAACGTAATAGGTTCTCCTGGTGCAAATAGAGATTTGTTGAATATAAATACTTACAATATGTGGCGTGTGTTAGTCTATCGATGGTGTCCTGCTTTAGTTTGGAGTTCTTCTTTCCCATGTCGACCGCCCGAATGTACGGAAAGTACGCGGAAAACCGCGTAGGGAAAAGAAGCGAGCGTAAGCGGGAAAATGGCCGGAAAAGCTGAAACGAACGGATAAGAACTGAGCGCGCTACTGGTGGAGCTATTCAGACTCTCTCGCCGAGAAAATCGAGGACGGCTGGAAAGCGCGCACGCGCGTTTTCCGAGCGGTTCAGTTTTCTTCGGAAAATCCGCCTACGGAGCCGTCGTTAATCAAACGTAGGAAAAGATCGGGTTATTATTGTGAGTTGTGAGTAGGGGGAGATAAGTGTTAGAATTTTCGTTAGGCGAATTTTCCGCTTTAACAATTTTCGATTTTCCATAAAAAACGATGCCAACATTTATCATTTCAAGAATATTTCATCTAATTTAATTTGATTGAAGAATTTCCCTACATGACACAATTTAAATGTTTAAGTATGAACCAAAAAAATTCCGAAACAAACATTATTTTTATGGGAAAAGCTTGATCGTTAATTGGATCTTTAGGAAAATAAAATTGCTATTAATCGTTTTCCAATTAACATTTCCAACTGCTAATCGACGGCACGACGATAAGAGAAAAAATCCAAACTCATTATAATTCATCTGACTAACGAATGAAAAATTGTTTATGGCTCTTTTATCGGAAATATCCTGCCCGTTTTTTGTGATTCATAGGCGAGAAATCCGATTTGCAAAAATGCACGCGATAGATTTGCTCCTTTTTTTTCATTTACATCGATTTCGAAAATAACGTACCAAAAATGCAAAACAATGAAAATATTGTGAAAATGCCCGATTGAGTCAATTGATTGGAAATTCCCAATGAAATTCATCATACCGGCCTCAATAACGAATTTAAAAGTTCATCCTGCTTTAAAGGATTCTGAATAAATATACAGGGGTGCTCCAGAAAGTAGGTATATCCCCAGAAATTTTAGTGTAGTAATCTACCCTCCCCACATTAAGAGGATACTACTATTTTTCTAAGAATTAGAACATCATCTAGGATTTTTCACAAAACCGCGATTAGAAAATTCATTTTTTCCGGTCAAACAAAACCACGGCAAGTCTCCGTAAAAAGAGTCGGCAACGCCGTCTCTTTCACCTGTTTCCCGATCACTTGCCTCGCAATCTCCCCACCCGGCCCCGCAATGGCCCACCGTGATAACACGACACAATCAAGTAGCCTACCTGTTTCAGAGCCTACCTGGTTGTCCGCGCATTCCACAAGTTTAAGTTTCGAATACGCCACTTTCCAAGGCACACCTGTTTGTGTGCGCGTAAATTCCACGTGTACCGTTTGTTTTTTATGGGATAAGACCGAAAAATCGGGAAAATTAGGGTAACAACTCATCGGGGGTTCTGAGACAGGGGGATAGTGGCTGTTTCGACGCGTTGCAGCGGTGAGAATAGATGGAATTCGGCGGTTTTTAAATGTATTTAGTGTAAGTTTTGTTTTATTTTTGTTTTTATCGTGCTACCCCCGTAGTCGTACGTGGGTTGATTTACGAGGGAGAGGTGATAGTAAGGATTATATTGCGTTTATTAGTGTGCGTATTGCTGGTAAGTTTTTTACTTATTTTGTTACTAGATTATTCGTAGATATTTTAATGGCATATTTGAGTTGTTATCTAAAACTATGATAAAATTGTAGATTTTTAAATGTTTTGATTCCTAAACGTTTTTAGGTATTTTAATTAGTTTTGAAATGTTTAAATATATCCTATTTAGTCCAAGTATTTGGTTAAATATTTAATCTTTTAATTTTATAAATGTTTGAACTTTTCAGTGGTCTGATTGCACATTTTAAAATTATTGTACTTTTTGACCTTATTAAATATTAAATTCATAAAAATAGCTCCGAAAACTTTTTTTATTACTTATTATAAATTTACATTCGTTTCAATTATTGCACTATAAATAGAAAAAGTTGTCATTTAAAGATCAATAGTTCACAGGCATCTCCTAAATTCATTTCGAAATGTTGTTTTGATCTTGCTGGAATTCCTGCAAATAAAAAATTCTCAGCTATGACTAACAAGAAAAATAAGTAAATATTGTTGTTATATTGAATGTTTAACTCAGTTTTATAATGCACTTTTGCATAATAAATCAATTCATAACCGCGAACAGTTAGTTTTTATTCACTTAACTTGTTTTAATTCAAATAAAAAATTGAAAACATCCTTGGAATTGTTAATGATAATGCCGGTCAGTGAGCAAAAACTACATGTTACAACTGACAAGGTCAGGAATTTTTCAAATACCCGATTGTTTCAGATAATTCTATTATTTCAAACAACGAGATTAGATATTATTGTGTTTTTATTTGTTTTTTATCGCCCCGTCATTTGAGCATTTTTTCTCTTCCAGGACGAAAATGCTCGTGTTCGAAACTCCCCAAGACTGAAATGACATTTAACTGAACATAACAACACGACGAAGAAGTATACACAAACATGACTCTAGCTGAAAACCTGATTTTCCCGGTTTTCTTTTTAACCATCGGCGTCTCGGCGGCACAAGATGATTCTTCAATCTGTTACGGTCCTGGATCCGTGGCCTCCTCTGTCGTTTTCACCTTCGTGCTTACATGCCTGCTGATTTGGTTCATCATGCATTGGAGAAACAAGAGGAGATCAAAAACAGGCAAGTATCGACTTTTTCGAAACAACGAGATTATGGTAATTTTTGGATAAAAATTTTTTCACACCTCTAACGAACCCATCGGACGCATTAAATTAAACATTCAAACGTCGACTTTCGAAACGGGTTTATTCGTGTCAATTAACATAGAAAACTACTTAGAATTTTCGGGTCAAACGGACTAACAGTAGTTCATCGGAGATTTCATCTCCGACATAATCGATGACGTTTCGATTCGTACAGTACAGGTACCGGCGCGCATAAAAAATCGATTATCCAACTCGCTTCGACCGGTTCCGCGATGGAATTCCGAACGTCATAAAAGAAACTCAATTTTTCCTCCTTTTTTTTCTGAATTATTACATTAATCCCGAGCGAGAATACGCCTCGCATCTTCTGCGTGCGCGTCGCTGGAATACATAATTAATTAATTTCCGATCCGAGTGCGCCCAGGATGTTCTGCCGCGTGTACTAAATAACAATTAGGGTTCGATGCTCGTTTGGTACTTTTAACACGTCCAACGCCATATCCACATATCCATATCTATATCAAAAATCACAGTTACTGTACGCGCCAATATTTCTGAATCAATTCTACTCCACTTTGTGTACTCCCATTCTTGGTGCTATTTTATATTAATCAAACCTTTATGTATACCCACTAACAAGCCACTGTCTTCTATCACCTGTCATCTGTCACTTGTCCCCTTTCCCCTGTCCCCTCTGTCCCCTCTGTCCCCTGTCCTTTTTGTCCCCTAACAGATGTGTTCTCATTTCTCACCTTCCTAAAAAGTTTTAACCAAAATGGCTTTCGGATGAGAGTACTTTTGCATCGTATAAACCTATAGAGTCCTTATCTGTTCTCAATTGTCTCTTACCGTTCCAGACCACTTGATTCTGGAGACCGATCCGGAGAAGGGCAAAGGTCGATTCGCCTTCGACAATCCGGGCTTTAAAGGTAAGCCAATCGGGCGGTAAAATCCCCGGAGCGCGCCGTAAAAATTCACCCGTGTTGTTTCGCAGAGGCGGCGGTGGAGCGCTACTTGGGCGGCGATGGGGCCACTAAGGGGAGAGGCGCGGGGCTGCTGTTGAACGTCATGTCGGAGAAGCAGGGAAAGAAGAGGAGCGCCGACGATTCGGCGATAACGGTTGGTTTATTTTTTTCCTCTCTGCGTTCGTCGGAAATGCAAATGCGAGATTTGAATTTTTACTGGATTTTTCCAGGAGAACGAGGTGAAAGTGGTGCCGTTGCGTAGCGAGGATTTCACCGGGCTGGGTTTCAACATTTGCGGCAATATGAAGGAGGGGATTTACGTGAAGGAGGTCATGCAGAGAGGTCCCGCGTTCGATTCGGGAAAGCTCAATTCAGGTTTGCATTCAACAATGGAATTTTTCTCTCAATAACTCGCAATTTTCAGGCGATAGAATAAACAGCGTGACGATCAATTTTGAGCACATGGTGTATTCGGATGCTCTGGCGATTCTGAGCTACGCCAGCCCTTATGAGGTCGTCGTAGAAGCAAGAGGAGGCAGACTCGTGCACAACGTGCCCAAAGGGCAAGTGGGCAGGCCGGCTCATCCGTGGCTCTCTAAGAGTTCATCCCATTCGGATTTATCTAAAGTACGAATCTCTCGCATTCCTACAAACTCTCTTTAATCGATATTTCTCCACAGATGGATAAAACATCCAAATGGAAATCGCAGGATTCCAATTCCAGTCAGTCCAGCCCGAAGAAAACCGCCAGCAACGCCACCACGTTGGAAAGAAAGGATTCCAAATCGCCTCAAACAACCTTCAAAACTATAGACAAGCTGATCAACTCGACAATTGATACTAAAAAGTCCAATGTAACGAAAGACCAAGTACAAAAATCGGAGAGCCCATTGTCCAAATTCGGCGTCAAAGTTCTACCTTTACAAGCAGATCTAAAAGCATCAGAACTGAAGAATGTTGATACCAACAAACCAACGAAAATCGAACAGACAAACACGGAGACCTCTAAGAAAAGTCCTGTTAACGACACTAAAAGCTCCTACAGCGGCATTAATGGCTTCTCAGCGGAAGCACCTGAAAGTGACAAGCCCCCGCAAGCGAAGAAACGAGAAAAGAAATTGGACAAGCCCGACCAGTTCCAAAGAAACAGCCTCAACGGCTCCGGAATAAAAAGAAACGCCGATGGCATTCCATTGGAGCTTCCCGAAGAGATGCTGCAAGCGGTTACAGCGGTTTTGAATCACAGAAAATCGTCCATAATCCAACCGGAGGCGAAACCCGAAACTATTCAACGGGTAGAAGAGCAAAAGGTCAGTTCAGATTCGGATGCGGAGAATGATTCAGCGAACACTATTGAGCTAGACTCCAGCTCGATTACCGTCCATCAGACCGAAGAAGAGGAGAAGAGGCAGAGGAAAACCCTCAGCACGGGCGATTTAAGCAAAATGGAGGGTTCTGAAACCCCCAATACCGGCACTCTGGAGCGGGCTCAGAGTTTGGACATCTCCGACACCGCCAATGGCAATGTATCGAACATAAGAAAAATCGCCCCCGAAGAAGATTCGGTTCTATTAGAGAAACGAACAACATCTGACGATTTGGGTACTTTCCAGCGTAATAGATTGAAGAAATCAACGGAATGGGGTACTCTAGAAGATGCTGTTCTAAAACCAGATCAAACCGATAGTATCCAGAACGAGGAAGAGGAAGAGGAATTGGCAGTAAAACAAACTAAGAACGAAATTTGGCCGGAAATCGATAACAACACTGGTCGAGCTATCAATATTAAATCTTCGACACTTCACCAAAACTTAGACAATTCGATTATAGATGTGGATGAAACACAAACTAATGAATCCAATAATATGATCCACCAGGAGCTACCTCTACACACCAACGGGAATGATTACGATGACATGGAAATACCTGTTAAGAAGACGAGGATTAATAACAGGATCTTCGAGCCTTTCGAATCGGTGAAATTGGAGAGGAATAACAGGCAGAGAATACCTGAACAATCCCCGCAACCGCCAGATGACTTTTCTCTGGATACCTCTCCGCCTCATTCTTTGGAAACTGGAGAAATAATTCCATTGAAACCGTCCACACCTCCTCGACCAGAAGAAGTCTTGTCTAAAATTCCGTTGCTAAATACTATGGTAAAGGAAATTAGCAATTCAGTTGACTTCAAAATTTCTAAAGAAAATCTCGAAAAGCCTACTAAACATGTTAGCAACGTCAGCGTCTTCAATTCTCCTAATGGAGATTGCCATTTGCATAGTTTGGAGTTTTCCGTTAATGATTTCCCTTTGAATTCTTTAGAAGAAGACTCCAACAACAAACCAGTTTCTCCTAATGAAGATAAATTAGAAACCAAATCTTACATCACAGAGATCAAAGTCACTCCTGATGAAGCAGCTGTCGAGCAGGATTCGATCAAAGGGAGCAACGAAGAGTCAGAAAAGAGCTTGGATGAAGATTTTAAGCGTTATGTGAAGAGTTTCGAAGCTAAATTAGAGCATTTCGAGAACAACATCCACCAATTCGATAAGAATCTGGAGGACTTCGTTTTGGAGCCACCTCGAAAGAGGAATAGCTTCGAAAAATTCGCGGATCAATCGAAAGAGAATGAAGAATTGAAAGACGTCAATGATAGAAGAAAGGTGATGATGGGGTTGGAAAATTTCAACAAAAACCAACTGCAAGATAACGAAGGTAAAGAGAACTCAGATTCGAAATGTTTCATTGTGAATAGTCCAAAAATAAAAGAGGATTTGGATGACCTGGTGTATGAACCGAAAGTAATTGAAAGCTTGAAAAGTCTATCGAAGAATGTGGTAAAGGAGAAAGAATTGTTTGAAGACATCATCAACGATCGATCAAAGGTGATTTTAGGTTCGGAAATTTTCCCCAAAAATCAATTAAATGAGAAAATTGATCTAAAAGATAACATCAACGATCAAATAAAAGGAAAAATCGACTTGATAAAGAGTGAGCCGATATTGTTTGAAGAAAACGAAGCTTCTAAAGATCAACCCAACGTGATTGCACCTTCTGAAAGCTTTACAATTGATTTTTCAAAAGGCAACGATGTCTTTAAGGAGCGATCAAACGATGTTTTAATCCTGGACAAAGACCGACTAATTCCAAAAATAAGATCAGACCTCCCCACCAGCGAACAACCACAAGAAAAAACGCACCAAAAGGAACTATACAAGATCCAAAAACTAGCAGAGCAACAGCTCAAGAAGCTCCCAGAAATCAAATTCACCACGTCCAGTTACTCCCCGTCCAGGATCCCGGAGAAGAGATCCACAAACGTCGAACAATTGAAGACCAATTTCGAGAAACCCCCTCTGCCTTCATCGCAGCACTCCATGTCTTCCACAGCCGCCGCCAAATCCAGGATTCCCGTCGCGAAGACCGGCAAAACGCCGCCGACTTCACCGGAGCGCCGCGACTCGCGCCATCTAGACGGCGAAAACGACGCCGCTCTCTTGGAACTGATGACGTCTTCTATAACGCAGAAGATCAAGTCGCCTGCCAAAAACAACGTCACCGTGACGTCGATCAGGGCGAATTCGAAGATACCCAGAAAAGTGGATTCGTCACCCGAGGAGAACAGCCCACTGCCCACTAATGGGAATGGAAACGGCGAGAGTAGCTTTAAGCAGTGGGTTTTCAATCCGTCCAATGTGACTAATGTCACCGTTAATCAGCGTAAAGATGATAAGAATTGACACTTTTGACGTTTGATATTCAAAGTATGACAGTTTTGATATTGATAAATGACGTCGTATAATGAAGTGTTTTTCATATAAATTTTGGACCGGTTTCTACATTATTTTCTTTTTGAACAGAGTTTATACGACTCACACAAAAAAATAATTTGAGAAAAAATTCTACGATGCCATCATTTAGCGAAATGCTCAATTAACTTTAAGTACACGCTTACAGAAATTATCGGTGCGATTGGGAAGGAAAAAGATAAATGTGCCTACTTGAATTTGCTCAATCTCAAACGCTCTTTCCTTTTTCCTTGTTTTTTTTCTGTTGTAAGTACGTTGTAAATTTGTCCTTTTCTCGAATTCAAGACGTAATTAATAATGCTCTTAACTTAATCGTTGTCTTCTGGATCTGCTCTATTATTATTTTTTTATTTTATAAATATTATTTTACTCTAATATTTTATTTGAATATACAGGTATAAATATTTACATTTATATTATATGTGTTAGGTGATTGTAGAAAAGAAGAGAATTACCTTGCTGAGAAATTAAATGATAAACATAAATGTTAATTTTGAAATGCAGGGTGTTTTTTTTTTCATTGTATGTTTTACACAAGGAGTAAATAACATTTGTTGGATATTTGTACATAAATTAATTATTTAGGATTTTATATTTATATAAATATTTTTTACAGTTATTTGTTGAATGTTCTAGAAATTTTAAAAATGGTGGATATAATTATATAAGATATTTTGTATAATTGAAAAAATAAAGTTTTTCTTTATGACAACCCGGTGTTTTATGTAAAACAGATGATTCTAAAAACTTGAACGAAATTTCCAGGAAATTGATCCAAACTTCTAGAAATTTTATACAAACATCTATAAATTACTGGAAACTTTTAGAAACTTGATCGAAACATCTAGAAAGTTCCAGATAATTATAGAAACTTCTAGAAATTCGATCGAAACTTCTAGAAATTTGATGATAGAAACATCTAGAAAATTCCAGATAATTCTAGAAACTTAACCGTAACATCTACTAATTTTTGGAAATTTCTGAAAATTTCTAGCAATCTCTGGAGATTCTCATCTAGAAAAAAATCAATATTGAAAAGTACCCCAAAGATATATCTTTAATTTCTTTCAATTGGAAGTAACATTAGAATACTATGCATTTGGCATCAATACCACTGATGGTAAATAAATTGTACTCAAATGTTAACAATACTTCTTGTTAAAAGAAACTTATCAGAAGATAAATGATCGGCCATTAAGAGTTTAAAAGCGAAGCCAAGTTAGTTGTCACTGTCGAAAGAATAATTTTAATTTCTGAATGCATCTGAAAGGGGTTACTTCACAAGTTCACCCAACAAAAAGAAACACTTCGCAAATCTAATTTATGCGCGCCGCAGCATCTGCTAAAGGCCATTTTATGAGCTCGAAAGCTGTAAAATGCATAACAAGAACTCATGAACTGTCTAACTCTTCCTGACAAGTTCTTCCTCCATCCCGAAATCTAACCCAACGAGCTCTGTGATATGTTGGCATTCTCGATTATTCTAGAATATTCGCGTCTCCATGGTGTTTCGTGTCCCGAATGCTCTGGCAATTTCCCCGTGCAACAAGCGGAATCGAGAGAACTCTACCAGCGGCGTACTCTCGGGATTTAGTTGGTATCTAATAATAGAGGTATGACGAAAATTATAATAAAAACTATTTTATTTTCGCTTATTATAGACTTTTTAATCCAATTTAGATCTGACAGTTGGCATTGTTGACAGATATGTGACAATGATAGATAGATTATTGAATTTATGGATCATAGAGAATAATTAGTGAGAATAAGTGTTTATCTTTTTAAAATCTTTTTTTTGTGAAAAGTAATTTAAACAAGTTACAAAATAAATTATAATCAAAAGCTGTGTTATTGGAAAGTAAAACATGTAAGTTTTATTTATTTATTATTATTATTATCAATACGTAATTAGCTCAGTTTGAAATCGATAAAAACCATGGCCTACTTACTATTGCAAACTATTGATTTGAATATACATTACTTATGCAGTAACACAATTCTTTTTCTTTTAATTAATATTCGAAGTGTAAATTATTTACTTTTAACTGAGAAGTCCCGCCGCCAATGGTTTGTTTTCATGCGCGTAATTTGTGCAGTTTTCCACTACCGTACCATTAGCGCATGCTAGAACATTCTACGCTAGCCGGCGACGTTCGACGAAGTTCGACCGAACGTTCGAGAATGTTCGAGTCGGTTTCGTCGTTCATATAAAAGCCTTCGCCGACGGCGGGAGTTCATTCAATTCAAATACAGCAAACAGTGAACTAATACGAAAGCGAACGAAGCGCTACAAATTTACAAGTGAATTTACAATCAGTGAATTTCTATACGAATACAAGTTATACAAAAGTGTCAAAATGGTGAAAGCTCCAGCTATTGGTATCGACTTGGGAACTACCTACTCCTGTGTTGGAGTATGGCAGCACGGAAAGGTGGAAATCATCGCCAACGACCAAGGCAACAGAACGACGCCCAGTTATGTGGCTTTTACGGACTCGGAGCGTCTCCTCGGAGACGCCGCTAAGAACCAGGTGGCGATGAATCCGAGCAACACGATTTTCGACGCCAAACGACTCATCGGGAGGAAATACGACGACCCGAAGATCCAACAAGACATCAAACACTGGCCGTTTAAGGTGGTGAATGATGGCGGCAAGCCCAAAATCCAAGTGGAATACAAAGGCGAGAGGAAGGTATTCGCACCGGAGGAAGTTAGCTCCATGGTGTTGATTAAGATGAAGGAAACGGCCGAAGCTTACCTAGGAACAACAGTCAAAGACGCAGTTATCACGGTTCCGGCGTACTTCAACGATTCCCAAAGACAAGCCACCAAAGACGCCGGTGCCATAGCAGGCATTAACGTTCTGAGGATCATAAACGAGCCCACGGCGGCCGCTTTGGCTTACGGTCTGGACAAGAGTCTCAAAGGCGAAAGAAACGTACTGATATTCGATCTCGGCGGCGGTACGTTTGATGTATCCATTCTCACGATCGATGAAGGTTCTCTCTTCGAAGTCAGAGCAACGGCCGGCGATACGCACCTCGGCGGTGAAGATTTCGACAACAGGCTGGTGACTCACTTCGCCGAAGAATTCCAGAGGAAATACAAGAAAGATTTACGCTCCAACCCGAGGGCTTTGCGTCGATTAAGAACGGCAGCCGAACGAGCTAAACGAACTCTATCGTCTAGCACGGAAGCCACTCTAGAAATAGACGCCCTCTACGAAGGCATCGACTTCTACACCAAGATAACTAGAGCTCGCTTCGAAGAACTGTGCTTCGACCTCTTCAGAGGAACACTGGAACCGGTAGAAAAGGCCCTCAAAGACGCTAAAATGGACAAGGGACAAATTCACGACGTAGTCCTCGTCGGCGGATCTACGCGCATTCCGAAAATACAGTCGCTTCTGCAGAATTACTTCAGCGGCAAATCCCTCAATCTGTCCATTAATCCAGACGAAGCTGTCGCCTACGGAGCCGCCGTCCAAGCAGCCGTGCTCAGCGGAGAAACCGATTCCAAGATCCAAGACGTCCTCTTGGTAGACGTCGCCCCGTTATCGTTGGGTATCGAGACGGCCGGCGGAGTCATGACGAAAATCATCGAAAGAAACGCCAGGATACCGTGCAAGCAAACCCAAACTTTTACCACGTACTCCGACAACCAACCAGCCGTTACAATCCAAGTGTTCGAAGGTGAAAGGGCGATGACGAAGGACAACAATCTTTTGGGCACTTTCGATTTGACGGGGATACCACCAGCTCCTCGCGGGGTGCCGAAAATCGAGGTGACTTTCGACTTGGACGCCAACGGCATCCTGAATGTCTCCGCTAAAGACACCAGCTCAGGCAACTCGCGCAACATCGTCATCAAAAACGACAAGGGCAGGCTGTCCCAGAAAGACATCGACAGAATGGTGTCGGAAGCGGAGCAGTACAAGGAAGAAGACGAACGTCAACGAGAGAAAATCTCCGCAAGGAACCAATTAGAAGGCTACGTATTCCAATTGAAGCAGGCTGTACAAGATTGCGGCGATAAGTTGCCGGCCGAAGACAAAGCGACGGTGGAAAGGGAGTGCGATAGTTGCTTAAAATGGTTGGACAGCAATACGCTGGCGGAAAAAGAAGAATACGAGGATAAACAGAAGCAGTTGACTGCGACTTGCAGTCCGATTATGGCAAAATTGTACCAAGGCCAAGGTGGCAATCAATTTGGAGGAATGCCGGGAGGTAGTTGCGGTCAGCAAGCCGGAGGATTCGGTGGAGCACCGGGCGGACCTACCATTGAAGAGGTGGATTAAATAATATGTACACATAAACCAGTTCCTTAATTTTAAGACTTTGATATTTATTGTAGAATTTTAGACTGATTAGTGATAATTTTTTATAGTTTGTATTTTTTTTTTATTATGTTAATAAAATATAAGTATTTATTTAAATTCCAGTTTTATTACTAACTTCTCCTTTTAAGTGTTGAATAAAAGAAACGAAGAAGGTATTTGATATTAATTTACTACTTCAGCACAAATTATTATAAGTTTACAGTCTTAGTATAAATCACATTATAAAACACATTTAAAAATCAACTTACTACAACATTCAAGTTTATACGGTAACCACTATAAAATGCGCATAAACAAATTCGATTTGTGTATAAAGTAACATTTATTATGATGATATAGACAAAAAAACTATGTACAAAAATGTACCCAAAAATGTAACCTGCCCCCACGTAGGTAATCCGGTTGTTTGTGTGAAACTTCTGGAAATCTCTAAAAACGGTATAGAAAATTGTTAGAATTTCTGAAAAATTCCACTTCCACTTCCAGAAAACTGAAAAAGTTCCAGATAATTCTAGAAACTTGATCGAAACTTCTAGAAAAACTCGATCTAAACTTGTACAAATTTGATGATAGAATAATTCATAAAGTTCCAGATAATTCCAGAAACTTCTAGAAACTCAATCGAAACTTCTAGAAATTTGTTAATAGAAACATCTAGAAAGTTCCAAATAATTCCAGAAACTTCTAGAAACTCGATCGTAATTTCTAGAAATTTTATGATAGAAACATCTAGAAAATTCCAGATAATTCCAGAAACTTCTTGAAACTCAATCGAAACCTCTAATAATTTGATGATAGAAACATCTAGAAAATTCCAGAAACTTCTTGAAACTCGATCTAAACTTCTAGAAATTTTATGATAGAAACATCTAGAAAATTCCAGATAATTCCAGAAACTTCTTGAAACTCAATCGAAACCTCTAATAATTTGATGATAGAAACATCTAGAAAATTCCAGAAACTTCTTGAAACTCGATCGAAACTTCTAGAAATTTGATGATAGAAACATCTAGAAAATTTCAGATAACTCTAGAAATTTATTTCTTAGAAATTATTAGTCGTCATATCCTTATACCGGGCGACCCAGAACTCACGCCCCGCTGGGAAAGGCCTTATGGAAACGACAATGAAGATGCTAAAACTGCAGCTGAAGACATGAAAAAGTTTTTCCTTTGGTACATAAAGAGGTTGAAAATAAACCAATCCCAGTAGCAGTTCACATACGCGAAAATGACGTGAATTAGCTATAAACCAATTTCACATTATTAAAAGATTCTGTGTCCTCCTTTTCACTTTCAAGGTTAACAAAAGCTGCTAAAATCACCTTGCCACCATCAAAGATTGGCTTTCAATTCGGTTAATATACTTTTTGGACATCCTGTACATTTTACCGAATTTTTGAAAAGTGTAACATTAATTTTGGTCCATTGTAAGGCTGTGTTGTTAATTTTACATAAAAAATAATAATTACCGAAAATTTGAACATTAAAATAAGCATTGCAAACTCGCAAAATTCGATTTTGTTGTTCAAAGGCGGTTTAGGTATAGAAAACCTTTATAAAACGTACGTTTATTTTCTACTAAAAACTAAAAATTAAATAATAAATAGGGCATTCCATTTAAAAATGTATCTAAGTTTAAAAAAAAATAATAAACGTGTCCGAGCTTTTATTCCCCAATGTACAAATCAAGCTAACGAATTTGTACCTTTACACTCTCACTGTATAGTATACACAGTGTGCAGAAAATAGATGTAAATAACTCGGGAGCGTATAGATGACATTAAAATAAGTGTACAACTTCATATAAATTTGTACACCAGTGTACCCAATTTGGTGATCAAATGAATCCTACACTACTCTCTGGAAGACAGTGGCGGCGTTTTTCCAGTGATTAACAATTCGTAACTTTTATGGGAACAATCTGCATAAGGCAAACATACTCTTGTTTAAAGTCGATAAAATTAACGGTTTAAAAAAATTTAATACATCTCATGATATTGTCCTTTTTCCTTTTAAAATGACCACCCTTTATATTGCACTACAGCCCAAACGGCGCATTTGCGAACACATGTTTATTAATACTTTTCTGCATATTTTGTGCCATACTACTCCCCCTTTTCATTGTGTGACATTTTTTTAAACACTCTGTATACAGTAACACAATTCTTTTTCTTTTAATTAATAATATTCGAAGTGAAAATTTACTATTTAATGTGAAGTTCCGCCGCCAATGCTTTGTTTTCATGTACTGCACTACCGTATCGTAAGCGCATGCTAGAACATTCTACGCTAGCCGGCGACGTTCGACGAAGTTCGATAGAACGTTCGAGAATGTTCGAGTCGGTTTCGTCGTTCATATAAAAGCCTTCGCCGACGGCGGGAGTTCATTCAATTCAAATACAGCAAACAGTGAACTAATACGAAAGCGAACGAAGCGCTACAAATTTACAAGTGAATTTACAATCAGTGAATTTCTATACGAATACAAGTTATACAAAAGTGTCAAAATGGTGAAAGCTCCAGCTATTGGTATCGACTTGGGAACTACCTACTCCTGTGTTGGAGTATGGCAGCATGGAAAGGTGGAAATCATCGCCAACGACCAAGGCAACAGAACGACGCCCAGTTATGTGGCTTTTACGGACTCGGAGCGTCTCCTCGGAGACGCCGCTAAGAACCAGGTGGCGATGAATCCGAGCAACACGATTTTCGACGCCAAACGACTCATCGGGAGGAAATACGACGACCCGAAGATCCAACAAGACATCAAACACTGGCCGTTTAAGGTGGTGAATGATGGCGGCAAGCCCAAAATCCAAGTGGAATACAAAGGCGAGAGAAAGGTATTCGCGCCGGAGGAAGTTAGCTCCATGGTGTTGATTAAGATGAAGGAAACGGCCGAAGCTTACCTAGGAACAACAGTCAAAGACGCAGTTATCACGGTTCCGGCGTACTTCAACGATTCTCAAAGACAAGCTACCAAAGACGCCGGTGCCATAGCAGGCATCAACGTCCTGAGGATCATAAACGAGCCCACGGCGGCCGCTTTGGCTTACGGTCTGGACAAGAGTCTCAAAGGCGAAAGGAACGTACTGATATTCGATCTCGGCGGCGGTACGTTTGATGTATCCATCCTCACGATCGACGAAGGTTCTCTCTTCGAAGTCAGAGCAACGGCCGGCGATACGCACCTCGGCGGTGAAGATTTCGACAACAGGCTGGTGACTCACTTCGCCGAAGAATTCCAGAGGAAATACAAGAAAGATTTACGCTCCAACCCGAGGGCTTTGCGTCGATTAAGAACGGCCGCCGAACGAGCTAAACGAACTCTATCGTCTAGCACGGAAGCCACTCTAGAAATCGACGCCCTCTACGAAGGCATCGACTTCTACACCAAGATAACTAGAGCTCGCTTCGAAGAACTGTGCTCCGACCTCTTCAGAGGAACGCTGGAACCGGTAGAAAAGGCCCTGAAGGACGCTAAAATGGACAAGGGACAAATTCACGACGTCGTGCTCGTCGGCGGATCTACGCGCATTCCGAAAATACAGTCGCTCCTGCAGAACTACTTCAGCGGCAAATCCCTCAATCTGTCCATCAATCCAGACGAAGCGGTCGCCTACGGAGCCGCCGTCCAAGCAGCCGTGCTCAGCGGAGAAACCGATTCCAAAATCCAAGACGTCCTCTTGGTGGACGTCGCCCCGTTATCGCTGGGTATCGAGACGGCCGGCGGAGTCATGACGAAGATCATCGAAAGAAACGCCAGAATACCGTGCAAGCAAACCCAAACTTTTACCACGTACTCCGACAACCAACCAGCCGTTACAATCCAAGTGTTCGAAGGTGAAAGGGCGATGACGAAGGACAACAATCTATTGGGCACTTTCGATTTGACGGGGATACCACCAGCTCCTCGCGGGGTGCCGAAAATCGAGGTGACTTTTGACTTGGACGCCAACGGCATCTTAAACGTCTCTGCTAAAGACACCAGCTCAGGCAACTCGCGCAACATCGTCATCAAAAACGACAAGGGCAGGCTGTCCCAGAAAGACATCGACAGAATGGTGTCGGAAGCGGAGCAGTACAAGGAAGAAGACGAACGTCAACGAGAGAAAATCTCCGCAAGGAACCAATTAGAGGGCTACGTATTCCAATTGAAGCAAGCTGTTCAAGATTGCGGCGATAAGTTGCCGGCCGAAGACAAAGCGACGGTTGAAAGGGAGTGCGATAGTTGCTTGAAATGGTTGGACAGCAACACGCTGGCCGAAAAAGAAGAATACGAGGATAAACAGAAGCAGTTGACTGCGACTTGCAGTCCGATTATGGCAAAATTGTACCAAGGCCAAGGTGGCAATCAATTTGGAGGAATGCCGGGAGGTAGTTGCGGTCAGCAAGCCGGAGGATTCGGTGGAGCACCGGGCGGACCTACCATTGAAGAGGTGGATTAAATAATATGTACACATAAACCAGTTCCATAATTTTAAGACTTTGATATTTATTGTAGAATTTTAGACTGATTAGTGATATTTTATTATAGTTTGTATTATTTTTTTTATTATGTTAATGAAATATAAGTATTTATTTAAAATCGCATTTTATTACTACTTCTCCTTTTAGGTGTTAGATAAATAAAACGAAGAATAATTTGATATTAATTTAATACTTTAACACAAATTATTATATGTTTACAGTCTTAGTATAAAACACTTTAAAAATCTTTTACAATAAATTGTGGTCTCGTCGAAGGCACTTACATTTAAAAATCGACTTACTAAAACATTCAAGTTTATACGGTAACCACCATAAAATGCGCATAAACAAATTCGATTTGTGTATAAAGAAACATTTCTCTTATCACAATATAGACAAAAAACTATGTACAAAAATACTTATATAAAAACTAAATACCTCATCGATAATTATAAGATCTGCTGTATCGTCAGTGATAGACATTGTATGTACACCAATTTTTCAAATAATTCGCACCCGGAGCACCCAAACGAGCGGCGACCATCAAGTCCCCGCTTCGAATTCCCTGTAGCCTTCCGCCCCGGTGAATATCACGTCTACCCAAATCCGCATCGCCTCCGGAGAAGGCGCCATTAAGTAGTAGAGCCGCTCGTGCGTTTTCACTATGAAAGTCAGTTGGGGATTCGGGGATTTCACGCTGTTCAGATGGTCCAAATACACCTCTTCTATCGCCTAAAAATATTCAAATTATAAGATTGGAAAAAACAGAGTAGTTAAAGTAATGTGAAGGAGTTTATAAGAGGTAGACCAAGGAAAACAATGATAAAACAAATAGAGAAGATTGGAAGAAGGAAGTGAAGAAGATGGGCATTAATAGGAGGAAATGGTTGCAGTCCAATCAGGTTTCCACGTCTAGATGTAAAATGATTATGAAGAAGAAGAGGTATTAGCAAGATTTTTGTTGGTGATTTTAATTTACCTGGAAATAAGCACCACCTCTGGCTTTCTTCTCGCTTTTATCCAAATAATAGGCGAACGTGTGCTTATTCCTGTCGAACACGAACCACCTCCTGGACCACCCATTCAGTTTCGAACCCTTTTTGTGTAGGTAACCTCTGCAGATGCTCGAATTGATGATCACGTGAGGACAAAGCACCACTTGGTGACCTAAAAATATGCCATTATGAAGATATTAAAGGAAAATTGAGTGGATAATTTACCAGCAGATTCGATGTGCTGCCTCAAATCCAAATCGGATCCTCTGATAGGCAAGTACCTCGTCAACGGCCGTTGCTTGTCGCTGATGGGCTTCCTCTTCCTGTTCAAAGTACCGACTTCCAGGCTCATTTCGCTGGTTTCGGATAAAGGCCTCGGAGACTCGGCGTTTTCAGACTCTCCTCGCGACTGCGATAAGGAAAAAAAACACTAATGAATCATACCCTTCAATGTTATCATTTCACTTTAATTACTCGATAAATTGCGTGGAAATACAAAACGCAGTATTTCAGAAAAATAAACTAACAAAGTATACAAGTAGTAAATGTAGAAAACAATATTTATGGATTTCCACGGAAGCAGTAAACACACGTATTTTCGTTGCGAAGAAAACACCGTCATTTTCCATTTTACCGAGAATTTTGCGCGCTATTTGAGTACAAAACAAACTTACGTCGCTTCGCCTTCGGTTCTTGTTCTTCTTGTTCAAATGGCTCCTGTAACCGGCCCTCACGTAAGTGATCCACAAAGACATTTCGCTCGCTCGAATTCAACCGCGAATTTAAATTTAATGGGGCTGCATACGCGCCGGATTTGTTTGCTAATTAAGCAGGATCGTCCAGAGGATGTGCACCGTGGAGAAATTGACCAGATCACTTTCTGTTTTGCCTCTCGATCGTGACTAATCCGGCGGAGGCGAATGGAGCGAATAGCGCGTGGCGCGGCGGAGACGCGGCAGGAGAAAATGAGATTTTTTGGGAAATAGGCGACGTTTCCACGGACGAGACGTGACGGATCGCGTGGAGGGGCCCTGCTAACTGTTATTAAGGACAAGAGACGGCGTTTTCCCGATGGAAATCCGTTCGAATTTAATGGGTTTTCGGGACGAGGAGCGCTGTGTTATCCGTGAATTATTGGGATGAGCTTGCCTCTTCCATGCGGGATTATTTTTTAATGATATTTATCGCCTCGAAAGAGCAAAGGTTTTTTTTTTTTGAACACGTAATGTTACGTGTTAAATAAGAATTATGGTTAATAAATATTCTGCGAGCAATTTTACGTCGCTTTTTCCTTCGTAATAAATTCGCTAAACGATTGGTATGAATGGATTTAAATGGTGGAATGAATTGCAGCAAAATATACCAGATGGTGTTTTCGTCATAAAATATTTTATGCATTTTTTATGTTTGAATTTACACCTGTTCCGTGTTTGCATTTAGTTCAAAAAGCAATAATATTGCGCACCTTGTTTTCTATTAAATCAGTTAACAGTTTGAGCGTAATAAAGAATTGTTCTTGGCAAGTTTTTCTAAAATTTATGTTATTCGAAAACAAAGATGGTTTATTTAAAAAAATCTATAATTAGCTGCATCGTTCTTCAAAAGAAACTTAAATTGCATTTCAAACTGTCCTGTAAAGGAATTTATCTACAAGAAAAACGATCCTGTTTTGGAAGAAGTTAAAGTTTTTAAATTGCTCGGGTATTTAGAAGTATTGATGCGATTTTAAAACTTCCGGCAAAACAAATAGCTAAAATAGACGATTGAAATCAAAGATAAAGAAAAAATAATCATTACGAGAAAATTGCACCAGTGAATTCCATAAAAAGAATTCGAATAAATCATCTTTACCAATCGCCCGACATTTTTTTACTGCATTTTTGGAATTTGCGACATTTTTTTGGCTTTATCGAAGTAACATTTTTGTCGAGAAATATGCATCAATTAAATGTAATTATAAATTATTTGATAATAATAATTAATATAAAATAATACAATAAACTTACCACATCCCTTGAAATGGATTCCTCCGGTGTCATTGCTTTTGTTTCACTCTTTTGCTCATCATCAGCACCACTGCAATAAAAATTTTAAATTCAAATCCAGTCAAAGTAAACGAAATTTGTCCTATATTGAGAATTGTTTTAACAAAATAAATAGGATTTGTAGTATAAAAACAAATTTCGTAATTTCCAATTACTTCGTTGAAAAACGAAAGAAATAAAAGTAGAAGGACGGTTTAAATGCATTTTCTATGTACCAAATTCATGTAGTTTAAGAAACGTGGAGGATAAATTTAGACGTAGTCAGTGTCAACTAGCATTTAGTTAAAGTAAATTTAGGTATATTGCATTTGATTTAAGTTTTGGTGCCCGACCAGCGACGCATCTTGAACATATAATAAATAAAATAGAATCGTTTAAATAATTTTTTCTAGCACATTGTAAACAAGGAACTAGAATAATTGTAATATGCGAAATTGTGCCAATAAATTTGCAGAAATATTCGAATAAAATGGGGCAATGTTAGCTCAATTAATTGTACAGTACGCCATTTGGTAGATAATTTATTTAGGACAGCTGGACATATGTATAAATACATTTATAAAAAATAAACCGTTATATGTCAGTTTTTTTTGACGAATTATTTTTAACAGCCCGATCTAAAAAAAGGAAATAGTAAATAAAGTTCCCTAAATTTATTTATAAAACACCTGCAATGATTTAATAATACCAACAAAATCTTCCCTCGATTTTTTGAGCTATAAAATTAGCACTTTCAAAACGAAATAAACTAATAAAATCACTTGCCAACACGTTTCTATTTACAATACGAATTTCAATTGAAGATGAAAGGATTGCTTTAAAAGTAAATCTTCGTTTCATTGTAGTTTAATTACTATTTTATTTACTCACTGAACTCCGCGTCGCTATTATTTTCGAATACGCCGTTTTATTAATAGTTTTAGTTTAAAGAAATAATTCAACGTAGTACATTACACGATTTTTTTTGGCTCGAATAAATCGCTTGTTCGGTCGAAAAATCAAAAATTCCAACGACGCGAAAACACGTTCGTACGTAACTAAATTAAATTATTATATCATTAAAAACGCGCACGGGTTGTTATTAATGAAAGGTTTATTTTTTTCGTTAAAACATAGAAATCCAACACTTCACCTTCTATTTTCGTTCTCACTCGATTCCATAGCTTTGTCGATGCAGTTAATAAATTTCGCGATGGCAGTACAGGAATTATTTTTTAAACGATAACTGATAGATTAGATAATTTTATTGGTATCGTGTAGTAATATTCCTGGAATAAACCAAAATATACTCAGCCGTTGTTTAAAAATAAGCGTATACATTCTGCACGTAGTGCATAATGCTAATGACAACCTATATATTTAAAAATAAAGCAAACTGTTGCGAAATCGGGTACATTGTAAACGTCCTAAATAATGAAGATACCTAATTAGATTTCTCATCATTCCCCTCATTAAATATCTACATATGTGGACAACATCTGGATACATCGATAATGTATCGCTCCAATTAGCACATACTCAAAAAAAATTCATAAATTTCTCCGCTATTTATAGATTTTGGCGTTCGTTCGAGCTCCACGTTTTTTAACATTTCGCTTAAAATTATTATTGTTGGAACACCGTCGGTCCAACTGCTTCAATTAATTCGCTTTCCGCGCGCATTGCGATAATAATTCACACGTACCTCAAGCGCGTCTCCTCCGATCCGGAAGAATTCAACGAATTGCAGTCCTGCAAGCGCTGCACCCATTTGCTCTTCACCTCCTCCTGCACGCGCTGCTTCAACGCGTTCACTCTCTGCCTCTCCTGCTCGATCACCTGCGATGCTGCAATAAAAACCACAATGATGTCTTTAGCATAATTGCTGAATAGAAAGGATTCATTGGAACAGTTTTTAGTGCGTAGTAGCCCGATGGGAGCGCTGCTGTAGACTGTTACTCGAGGTATCGTTTGCTGCGTGAGCTTGTTCGATAGGAAGTTAATAACGCTAGTTCTAAATGTTTGTGGAGCATTCTAGATTGTTTTAGACAATTCTGAATGATTGTGGAGCGTTCTAAATGGTTCTAGACAGTTCTACATGTTTCTGGAGCGTTCTAAATGGCTCTTAGTACTCCGATAGATCCGAGATAAATATCCGATTGCTAATTACCTTGTTGACAAAGGTGGATATGTCGATTACGCTCGATTTCCTTCAGCGATTCGATGGTTTTCCGTCCCAACGAATCATTTCCTTCATTGATAATAGGAGCGTCGGATGTCACTCGACTAATGCGATCGATATCGTCTTGACTGGGAAACTTCCTTTCTACAAGCATCGAACACACAATTAACAATAACATAATACAGAACGTGCCGGATTATTACCGATTCCGATATCCAGAACGGACTTTTCCTGGAACAATTTCTCGTTGAACGACCGCGACATGTTGTAGACGTTCTCGTCGAGCGGCGGCTTGGAATCGCTGACGACGATCGAGCAGCTCATGTCGGTCATTTTGCCGAAGGAGAGGCTCGACAGGCGCCGCTCCAATTCCTTGGACTTGTCGCTGTCGGTGTCGCTGGACGCCTCCTGCTCGGAATCTTCGAGCGAATAGGTCGACAGTTCGCCGTCGATGCTCTTCAGCCTCTTCCGGACCTCTTCGAGTCGCATCAGGCACTCCATTTTCTGTTGTTCTATGAGCTTGAATTCGTGCGTGTTCGCGTTCGATGTCTCCAACTGCAATTAAATCATAATAGAAAACGTGAAGTAAGAAACGCGTTGGTAAAACTAACTTTCTGTTGTTCCAAATTGAGTATTTGTATCTTTAGATGTTCGCATCGCTTCGAAAGATCCACCATTTCCCTGTGTATTTCCTCCCGGCTGGCCAGCCAATCGGCCTCTTCTTCTAAATGATGGAATTCCAGATCTTCGAACGCCTTACGCTCGACGTCCAGTTGCTCTTGGGCTTTGAGGTACTCCTCGAAGGCGTTCTCGTATTCGGGATCGGTTTTGGGCGTCGAGCGCATCTTCGATTCCACCTCCATCATGTTCTCCTGGGCGATCCTCAGCTTCTCTTTGCACTTCCTTTGGTCCTCGTCCTGCTTGGTTTGCCTGTCTCGCATGTTGTCTTCGATTTTCTGGGCGCGCTTCTGCAGTTTTTGATTGCGAGCGGTGATCTTCTCCAGATCGTTGAGCTTCGATTTGTATTCTCCGGAGATGAGAGCTCGTTCTAGCTCCGTCTAAAAACAATACATTGTAAAATAATGCTTCGTTGGTAATTTATAGTACAAACCTCTCTTTGTAGTTCTTCTTCTTGAATTTCGATTTCGGACATTTGCCGCTTTATCCTCGATATAACGGCTAATATTTCTTTTTTCTCCTTTTTTAGTCGTTCTAATCGTTTCGTGTCGACGTTATCTTCTTCGTGGCTTTTACTCGATCCGTTGCATTTGGCGGAATCGTCGAGTTCGTTACGAATTTCGATTTCCGGAGACGGTAGTTTAATAATTTCGGCCGTGCTTTGCACGGGAAACACGAATTTGGTGGGAGTAGCTTTCGCAACGGCCACGTCGAATATATCATGATCGGGCGGAATTTCCCTCGAATTGTGCAGGTTTTGCTTCAATATTTGTTCGGCTTCCCTCAGCAGGATTTCCGTGGTTTCCTTCGAGGCGCTGCAATTACAAACCACGTTTACTCAGCACTCGAAACTCCTTCATCAACCTACTTGTCTTTGTTGGCGGTGGGGACGAACGTTTTGATCCTCGTCCTGGGCGAAGGGGGATAGGGCCCGGGCGGGTTGTACTGCACATACACGTTTTCGTAGGGACTCCTCCTTTCCACGGCGCGGTGCTCCGCCTCCTGTTGTCTTTGATCGACGGGCTGGTCGTAGACGACGCCGTTGGGCGATCGGTTCTCGTAGTTGCTTTGCTTGAGCAGCTCGCTGTGGAGCGCGTCCAGCGGAGACGGTGGAGGAGTCGAGGTGTAAGTCGGAGATGAAGGGCTGCAAACGCCTCGTTTCTCCCTCGGCAGCGAACCGTTGGTCTTTATTCTGCAAACGTGATAGATTTGTGAAGGTTAGTGAAGAATTACAGATACGATAGATTGACAGACAATTATAGAGAATTATGGATTTATGAAGTGTAACAGGCAATAGACTGATCATTCGGTGAGTCCTAGATAATATAGATAGATAGATAGATAGATAGAGACTTACAGATTTATAAAGAATAATAGTCTATTATAGATAGCATATATAGATAGAGAATTATAAATTTATAAATATTAATATAGAAAAAAAGAGGATTACAAAGGAAGAAGTGAGCTGGATATACCCATAAATATTATAAAAAAAGTAACCAATTTAATGCAAATATTGTGTAAATCAAGACTAACTTAGTTCCTACTTATATCTCGGTTAACAATTAAATCAAACGATTAAAATTTACCTGTTTGGCGTGATGGGTTTGTTCTTCTCGCACTGTTGCCTCTCGTATTCGGCGCACATGTTCAGGATCTCCTCCAGTCGCTGTTGTTCGGCCTTTTCGATTTCCTGCTCTTTGATTCGGTCCTGCTGCGCCTTCGACAAACGAAACGAATTCGTCAACGAACAAAAGCCATTTCGTTACTGCAACGCGGGATGTTGACTTTTCGCGAAATGTTTACAGTGAATACCTCCGTGGGTAGATAAGGATGATATGTCGTAATTCGAAAACGTGATACACGCATTTCTAAACACAGTGATAAGAGCGCGGGTTCGGCTATTATATTATATGTGGCGCTGATTGCGCGGTTTTAACTTTTTTCAAATGGAGTAATATGGAAAATTCAATTTACCTTGTTTCTTTTGATTTCGGCTTCGTATTTCCTCTGTTCCAGATCCTCGAAACACTCGTAAGTCCCGTCGGTCAGTTCGTCCAAAGACCCGCTCCTGCGGTGCAATACTTTGGGACTGGTGGCGACGGGACTAGGAGTAACGCTCCTGTAAAAAGCAGGATTCCTATTGAAATTCGGAGAAGGTATAATTAATCGGTTGACGTTGATGTTCTTATTCGTACTGGACGTCTTGTTGTTCAGTTCGTTGTGGTCGAAATTGACGTTGGGGTTTTTGGGCGCGCCGTTTTCGAAGATGATCACGCGGTTGTTGATGTTCTTCGTTTCGTTGATGGTGACGTTAACGTACTGGCTTTGGTGGGTTTTTTTCGAGATGTTTTGTTGGACAGATACACCTTTGCCTTGGGGTTTCTCGATGGTGTTCAATTCGGCGTAGTTCAAGGTGCTTTGCGGTAAGTTCTTGGTGAAACTAGAGAGGTCCGGTGGTGCTCTACCTGCAAAACAAAAATTAATAAACTATGAATGAACAATAATGTGTTATTTACCTATCACGTCTTTAACTGGTGTATTCACAGTGACGACGTTCGACGGAAACACCTTGGGGGAGATGGATTTTTTGTAGTTCTGCGCGGCGAGGTACTCGAATTTGGAGACTTTGGTGCCGACGCTGGAGGGCGGCTCGTCGCTGCCGCTGTCGGACAGGGAGTCCCTGGGGCTCCGGCGCGGCGCCACCGGCGGTTTCCTGTTGAATTTGCTCATAAAAGAACCGTCCGGCTCGAAGTTGATCGGCGCCATCGATATCCTCGGGTTAGGCAACACGGATTTCATGAGCTTCGCCTCTGCCGGATGGTTGAATCTCATATAATTCGATCTACCGATGGTCAGCATGCAACCTGGGAAATTTATCGAAAAATATATGCATAAGCGTAGAATCGAAGTTGGCGTTGCGTAAGAATTGCAAAGGGAACCAACTAATTGCTTTTATAGTATTTGTGCGAAGCGGTTTTATAGTCGCGATGCAACATTGAATTGAATAGCTCGTAAATCGTGCATGTTTTCAGATAAACAAACGTAAGTGTATAAACGTAGGTAGAAAGCAAAACTCATCTCGTATGTAATAATAAATACACGAACGCTTCGTGGAATCCTCAAGACGCGCTTACCTTGGGATAATCTCGTAGGGGTGGTGACCCTCGCCCCATCGATAGATAGATTCTCTGATAGGGGATATATAGTTACGATCCCTTCGCTGTTTTCGATGTGGCAGTGCAGCGGCAACACTCCCGTGCCCTGTACGGGAATGTCAACTCCCGATCCACTTCCCACCGTCACTCGCCCTATAAAAAAACAATTTCAATTAATTTCTACGAACACAAATCGCGGTATTGTCTGTTGTAAAACCTTGATAACTGACTATTTAATTACCTTATCATATTGTAGGAACGCGTCATTTTTGCGTATAGAAAAAAGTTAGCGTATACTTGAGGAAAAACAAGCTACAGGTGACGAAAACAAGGAGACAATCTGGCGCATTCAACAAGTCGTGACGACCAACTCCGACTGAACGTTTAGAAAATTATATAATCCTCGTAAACATTTTAATGAAACACTCTCTCTCACACACAAACTTTTTATAAACATCGACAATTTTCGGAATTTAGGATTTTTATTCGCACTCGCGCATCCTCCAATTTTAACTGATTGATGTCAAAGCATCACCGCCTTAAATTCTACTCTTTTGCATCGGCTAGCTTGTCGAGTACGAATTCCAAAGTACCACAAGTATCCAGATTCAATTTCAGTTTTAACAAATTTTTGGTCGCAAACCGGTCGTCCTCGCATTTTCAACCATTCGATTCGGCGATTCCTCAATTTCTAACGATTCCGAAACCCAATGAGCCAAGGTTATCACGTCTGCGTTAATAACAAATAGTAAAAAAATAATAATAAATTGTCGCGAAGTATGTGTGCGCACAACTGCAGATGTAGCCTTAGTTTTTTTTTGCTAACGCTGTCGCCTATGTCGCGTTAAATAGATTCAATTTAATATTAACAACGTAAAACGATCTTAATTGTAGCCAGTCGTTTAATAAATTAGGAGCGTTGCACCCGTCATCTCGGGCTCCTACAAAGAGATTTCAACTTTTAACGTTACATTAGTTCCTCGCTATATTTAGATTCTTTGTGGAAATGTGTCGTTGTGCGGTAGTTTTCTTCTAAAGGAATCACACAAATTAAAAATTTCTAATGATGATGATAGTAATAAATAAAAGAAACCCGTAACTTATTAAGTAATGAAAGAATCAGTATAAAAGTAAAAAAGCATTAATGAATTGATAGTAAAAGGGAAATAACGAGAGGTAACCTAAAGAGGTATAAATAGGAAATATAATTAGTAGGTGAATGAAATCGTTATGTTTGGACGAGGTATGATTTATGCACGTCTATGAAGAGCACTATTTATATCATTAGGAAATGCACTGTATTTATGCTCATTAACTTTGAATAATGTCGACAAGTGAAACCCGTAGAAAATTATATAAATCAGTCATTCACATCAGAGGAGCGATTATTTGGCCGTTCGATTAGAACTTGCGGTCGAAGGAAATCAATTCGGCTTTTTATTTATTTATTTCTTTCTGTCAGTAAGACGGCCTAGTTCTATTTACTCGGAAAAGCAAGAAAGAAACTAATTTCATTGTTTAAGTTTAGTTGAGTGTACGAAAATATAACCGTTTTCAAGGTAGGTATTAGTTTAATTTAGTCGCGCGTCCCAACGGTATTTTTACACTTTTTCAATGAATGCAATTTTACGCCAGTTACTCCGCAAAACAGCAATTCACCAGTTTTTATAAATAGATACTCACTGAAACACTCGTAATTATTTAGATTAGAGCAACGTATTTTTTACTCGTATAGCGTTGAAAAAGTAAAGAAAATGTACTCTTTGAAAATGTATTTTTAAATCCAAAAACAAACAAACCTTTCACCAAAAGAGATTTCAACGAAAACCACATGTGAAAAGACAAAAAAAAGGTGAAACATGATTCCTACTCTTGTTGCTTCCTTTACACTTAAAAAAAACTATCTACAAAACGTTTTCACATAAATTTGATTTACATTCTACGAATATCCTGCCCGACCCCGATAATTGCAAATAAAAAAATCAAACAGTGCCTCACTAACCGTTAAAGAACCATACCCGGAAAATCCAATGCGACATAAGCGTTAGATCATCCGCCAACGTATTTAGCCAAGTACTAACCCCGTTATATCAACACGTCGGCCGCCGCCGCGCGAAACATCGCACGAAATTCGCCTAATAAATTCCGCTCGGGCTGCAGTTTCGACGTGCAGTTGTGTGTGCAGTGCGTCGGTACGACCGACGGGGTACCGAAAGTTCGACGACCGGTTCGCCCGTTTACGAACTCTCTGTTCGTCGGCATTGGTGAAGGTCGCTCGAGGAATGCACCGGGCAATTGCAATTACCATCGCGCAAAAGGGCTCACTTTTATTCCAATTCCGAAAAGCGATAAGCGACGAGTAGGTACTTACGAGGGAGCGGAGAAATGGAGAAGAGCTCATAAAAAACCGGCAGCTTTCACTCCGCTTTATCTCCCATCATATCTTTATGGTTTTGTTTAATTACCAGTGAGTGACGTAAAGCTCGGCTTATCTCCAGTCAAACGGAGATAAAAAGGGTTTAATTGGCGCGCATCGCTGAAGATTTACGAGGGATGCTACGAATGTAATTAACAAATTAACAACTCCACGATTACCGCGAGAGGTTAAACAATACGTAACAAAACAATTTGAGTTGTATTGCGAAACAATGAAAATTTCGTGTTGATCAAATGCCCATTTCTAGATGGCCCGAAGGGGATTTTTTAACATAGAAATATTACATAACGTATCTTGAAGAATTTCTGTATCCTACGGAGGCATGACAAGCTTAAAAGCCATGGAGGAAACGAAACCGAGCGGAACGGCAATTATACGAGTCTATTTAAATATCGGATAAATTCGAGGATGAGAGTTCGTTGTTTTGATGTTATAAAGATTAGAATTTTTTATACTGAAATAAATTTTATTAAAATAGTTTCGTTTTGAGCACAAACGAACTAACCTGAATAATTTATTTTTTCTACTAACCCTGCATACACAACCAGATAATGCTCGTTTATTTTTGGGAAAATATACATAACAAAAAACCGTCTTTTTCGTGGTTCGAGTATCTGGATCTGGTTATTATAAGGTAGCTGGAACGGGAAATAAATGAAGAAAAAGTACGTCGAGTCGTAAAATACGGGTAACGTCAAAATTAGACACGTTTTCAACACATGCGCTCCCGCTTGCATTTACCGGATGCACAAGTTCGAATGAAAATATAAATAAAAAATATAGTTCGAATAATATACCAAGTTATTACTAATAAAAAAGTTAATGAGAATTTTAATTTCGTATAAACTGAACTTTAATGTCGGCTGAGTCAGAATTTTAATGGGAGGAAATCGCCAAAATTTTACTACTCCACAAAAGCTTTATTGTTTGTTGGAAACCACCCGTACATACACATAATATAAACAAACAGGAAATGTTACAATAATCAAAATGTATGTCTAATAACGGCCACGAAAGCCCCAAGAGGTCAATTCAACGTTTCGTAATTGCTATCGATAATAATGCATTCATTGACATAATTATTCTAATCGATAATATGAGAATACATTAAAAACAAATAACTTCGGAATGAGTAAATTCATTCATTCCACATACGAAGGATAAATTCCAAAAAATAAACAATTTGAAAAAATAAAGTAATACAAGACAAATGTGGTTGGCGCACCTACAGCTCCCCCTGACTTCTCGTTCCTTTTCTAGCACATCCCTCCACTTATATCGATAGTAAAGGAGCGAGAGTTCGGAGTGAGCGATAGGTCCGCCGACCATCGTACCTGATATACAAGAATAATATAAAGCATACCTTGTGGTATGGGGTGCAACGTCACCGAAGTGCTCAGTCTGTCTCCTCCTATGCTAACCAAATGCGGAGTATCCGTTTGCAGTTTGAGCGCTCTACCGCCCGCGGCGTCCGTCAATTCCACGGCCCCAGGATTGCCCAAGGTGGCGGTTTCACCACCGGCTAGAGTCACGCCAGACATAACCTGTAAATAAATGCATACCTTCAGTTTACATGAAACTTACAAGAGTACTACTAACTGACATAACTTGAACCATACTGGTATTCTAGTATCTGTATATTCTGAATAATGCGTATTTATTGCATTCTATAAATACTAACGAGCGTTTAATTTATCGGAATTACCGGCATTAAATAAACATAAAAACGATTCGGATTGTGGCAATTCTGCCAATTCGATACTTTGCTTCTCTTTTAAATCGCTTCATCGTTTAACAATTATCTATTACAATAAACATCCAATAAAAGAACCACGTGCACGACTGAGCGAAAGAGTGCGCACGGGTTTACTGGGCCTTATAAACAACACAAAAACAGATAACGGACAGAATTTCTTCGGCTGTTGGTTAAAATTTCTTCAAACTACCTGAACAAACAAAAGGAATGGTTTGTTCGGTTTACTTGCCCGGAATTTCCTTACCGCAAGACGAATCACATGATGGTTCCGATCTAGTAAAATTATTCGAAACGCCCGGCTTACTGTTCGACTGAATCATCAAGCACGGTTTCTTTCAGGTAAATATTGACGAGTAGTCATCCGGTTCCGAGAGTTGCGCCAATATTTAACATCCTGTCACCCTACGATCGTATGTAGGTTATGGAGAAAGCCGGGCGATTTTTTTAATCACCAAATAGGCTTGTTTTCCGTATAGCGAACAAAAGCCAGAAGAAATTATGCTATTGTTGAAGATGGAGAAAAGAATCCCGTTGGTCTATTCGCCTATAATAGAGGCGATATTTATCTTAAACAACCTGCTCACAGCGGGACGTCTTTAAATAATGACTCAGATCGTGAGCGATGATAGAGTCATATTGACAAACAGAAGTGGCCCGAAGAATGAAGCGTTCTGCGGCATAATGAAAAGTAAAAGTCACGGTAAAAGTGGTAATCCGGATTTCGTGAGCGTTTTATCAAGATGTACAAGTCCGAAGAAAACTCGTTTCATTCCGAAGGGATTGGATTGTAATGGGTCCAATCAAAAATTCACCCAACGTATTATACGAGAGTAGAAATTCTTGTAGCGCCCTCGTAAAGGTCTTCGTTCTAATTGCGGATGAGCGAAGAGTTTACCCAACGAAACAAATCCCGGTGTTTACGTGCGTTGGGCAATTGTTTGTTTAAGAAAAAAAATTAGACGAAGTTTCGTAATGCAATCGTGTGTCAGTACACGACGCATGTAATTAATTTTTTTATAGTGAGCGTTTCTGGGAAAGCGTTATGTAGGAAGAAAGGTATGTATTCCGTGAATGTTTGTAAATAGTAAATTATTTTATTTATTGCCGGATTAATTTTCTATTTGGAATAACAGTAAAGCAACTCGTAAAGTTTTGATTACAATTTGGATAAAATAGGCGTAAACTGGAATTAACTTCGCAAAGTTCAATAACTGATCGAAATACTATTGAAATACTACTGAAAATTGAAATCTACTAAATTTTACAAGCATAGCAATTTAGCTGAATCACCAGCTATTTATTTCGTTCAATAACGAACAATGGAATTTGTTTATTAATTATTTAAAACTTTAAGATTTAAGTTTACATACAAATTCAATTAGGTCATTGTACGATTAACTAAATTTAACACAAATGCACATGAAGGATAAACTCATAAATAAGAAGTAAGAATTATAAATTACTGTCAACTAACTAACCGTTAACTAATATGGTGTGATATTTTTGTTTAAACGTTAATGTTTAATACAAATAAATGACAGCAAATTTGATATTTCAAGGACGTTTTCGCGCATATTGTACACCATTTACGATAGAAAAT